ATTCCTGATCACCAAAGGTCCAGTAAAGCACTTGTAACGCCTCTGGTGTGTCGGGTGTCCATGGGCGACGCCGATAGCTTATTATTACCAACATGATTCGTCTATTCGTTTAGCGGCTCATTCCCTAAAAATGTACATTAGGAAAGGGTCAGTCATAAAAACCTTTTAAGTCTATAAATAGCACCATCACCGCTTAAACTCTTAAAGGCTTAACATTGAAATTATCGCGTCATATTAGTTACGTGTAAGTAATTACAATTGTTTATATAATTAATTTACGATCACGTATGGCTTGGAAAGCTTGATGATGCTGCATGATGACCCTCGATGTGTTCTGAGAGAAAACGCCTGGACGGTGTGTGTTGGACAAAGGAAAGTTATGTTTTAACAAGTTTGTAAGTGGTTGTTGTGTTAAGTCATGTCATTTCATTATCTACTACGTCGACGTCATAGTGTATAACAATCAATATGAAGAGTCACCAGAATTATCATGTTTCATTATTCCCATAGATTGATTGTTGGTGTATCGTAAGTATACATCGCTCGCTTTTAGTTATAAAAGAAAAATGGTGCTTATAGCCCACAGGATGACGAATTAAGGATTATCTTAATTTGTCTGTGACAACACTGATTAACTGATATTAATCAGTGTTGCATTGTGATTATTAATACTATGTTAAATAAAGCTTAATTCTTTGTATTCTTTGTGTTTAAAGTCAAATGTGTAAATATAGGTATTTAAAAATACAATAACATAAACACTGAATAGGTAAGATCACTTGTTTTACATCGTATAGAGTGTAGACCTTCAATGGATACTGCACATCTGCCAACAAGTTTGGTCAACAAATGTTGGTTCAAAGCACATTGGGCCAACGTATAGTTATCCGGTTATTGGCACAATTGTATTCAATTATTGGTGTAATGAGAGAGTGTTTCATACAATCACTTTTACTTCATACATAATCTAAAGTAATATTTCATCGCGTTAATTGTATTTAATTAAATAATTCATCGCTTTACAGTGATAGTTTCTATTCGAGTGACGACGATGACGCAGGTGGAATGCGCGGTTTGTCCACGAAATATTATACTTTTTAAATCTCTATTGAAGAATTCTTCGTGTAATTATAAGGAGCTGTCGAGTGCTTTCTACAACATTCGATGATGAAGGGTTTCCACACGTAATTAATAATGCCATGTTCCGCATAATAATGGGCAATGATAATATAATTACTTATTATGTACATTTGTGCATTCTATTCTACAAGTGAATGGCTACTAGTTCTATTTATGGGAATTATTTGAAATGTTGCTTATAATTTACGCTATGGAAATACAAAGCAATCAGCATGAAATATTATTTCATTAATATTTCATACAGCTTACAATAAACCACGTAATTCTATTTAAATATTTATGAAACGTTTCCGTGTCTATCTTAAGACCGGATGTTGCAACAGCAACTGAATTTAACTTGAGATCCTTATTGGTAACACTAGACAGACATTGATAACTTGATTGGATAGATCTAGATAAAAGCTTCGCCATCAGCGTTCAACTGTACAAGGAGGTTATTTACATGAGGCCACAGAGTATATAAACTTGTGGTTCTAAGTTAAAGGCGCTTTCAAATTCCCGCCGCAAATGTGAAATATTTAGTACATAACGTTATGGTTATCTGTAGCCATCAGAGGCTGTGTAAACATCATATAATGTATTTTCACTGTAAGAATGTTAGTGCTGGTGGTGATATAATGCGAGGATGCTTCGCCTAAATAACCTGAACTCATTGAATGCGGAAGAGAACCGGATTTTGAGGAATTTGATGAGACTTAGCTTAGAATTATTTCTCTAGTAGTGATGAGGGATCTTACGTAGACATAGATAGTGTTGTCTAACGAGATCTAAGTGTGCAAGTTGTAGCGAGCTGTAGTGTTAGCATTTACACGGAATATTTACTTTAGTAGATCGTATTTATGAGATAAAATTGCCGGTTTTTGGAATGTAGTGGTTATATTGAACTGAGCTCCAGATTGTTCAAATTGCATTAAATCGTTGGGCTAGATAGAAGTGTGACTAGATACTGTTAGTTAACATTTTTTTGTTATTTATTGTCATCAACATCTATCCATCGGCTGCTAGACATAACCCTATAACGAGTACTCTACTGACATACATATACATAACTTCACGCTTGTCTCCCATGGCGGTAGGCAGAGAATTGCTACGATTCTCTCCTCTTTCGCTTCATCAACAGTCATCTTCAGTCTTTTCATTCATGCTCGTTGGTTAAGGGCCCTTTTTTATACATATGTATATCACCAATTTAGGTACTGACATCTGAAAATGAAAAACCCACATCATGGATGCAGTTCAAAATATACTAAAAACATCCGTAAATAGGCTATTCTTCCCAGTGCACTGTGGCTGGTGGCGTGATGGTGTCGGTAACATGAATCAGTTGAGAGAAATGTCGCGGTCATTGTCTTGTTGTAACACTTTATGTAAACACGCCTGACTCACTGTAATTATGAATGAAAGTGAACAACGGACACCAGCATCACCAGCTATCCTTATCCATCGAATCTCCACAACATAAATTCAACTTTGCCCAGCACAAAATAAAGTTTAAAATCTATTTAAGACATCTGACAGTTAAAGGTAGCTTCAAGTGCGTTGTTATAATGTGTGTAGTTAACTTACACACAGACAAAACGGAACTCATAATAAAATAAATATGACGAAACTGTTTTATAATTTTCGAGAGTTATGTTCGGTCCGTGTTGATCACTTGTGACGTCGTGGTGAAGGATTTCCCGGCGGCAGGCTGCTGAACTGTAGCCGTAGTAAATGTTACAGGCACGTAATATTCACTATGTTTGTTGTAATGTTCGCTAACAATGAGACATCCGTTTTATGTTCAGATCAGTTGTATGTGACATTAATAGCGTTCTGGTTAATCAGTGAACGCTTACTATACTTGAAAGTACTAGAAAATACTAAAAGCCGAAAATCGAAAATCAAAATACGAAAAACATAAAAAAAACGTAAGCATAACATCACGCCTTTTACCCCCGAAGGGGTAGGCAAAGGTGCACATTACGGCACTTAATGGCACTGTACAATGTAACACCCACTTTTCAGTATTTATGTTATGAGTCCCATGTAATAGGGGGTGAGTCTATTGCCATATACCGAGCACATTTCCAGACTCCGTGCTACTATTGAGAATTCTAAAAACCCAATAATACTTTACCCAACCCGGGAATCGAACCCGAGACTCCTTGTCTGGCAGTCGCACTTGCGACCACTCGATAAGATAACGATTAGCGAAAAACAAAAAATCAAAATCGAAATATAAAATTCTAATCCATTACAAAAAGCTTATCTTGATTTACATATTCGTGATACAACTTAACGGGCATGTTTTAATTTAGTGTTAGTAGTTAGTACCACCTACTATCACCAGTTGTTCCCAACTTGTAATTCCTTCATTAAGGTTCTCATGCAACATGTTCCTTATGTCTCATTCACTCAGGCGGCAGGCCTATCTCAGATCCCATCCGACATTTTGTAAGTTCTTAAATCAATCACAATTAACTACAAATACAGTAAATACTCAGACAGCGTTTAGTTGACCGGATGTAGCAGGCAAGCCGACATCCGGTCCGGTTAATTGAAAACGACACCGCTATTAGGTAAATCGCTATCATTAAATGAAAATACATTTCATTAGCTACGGTAGAGCTTACTAATGATTTATATTTAGTTTATAAGTGAGTGATAAGTAACACAAGTAACAGGTTGGTTGGTGGTCACAAAGGAGATCGGCAGATCCTGACCTCGACCGACGGAATTGAAATACTGTGGTCAAGGAGCTGACTCCTTGACAACCCAATCACTGAATACTGATATTCAGCCCTGTTTAATTACTTTTCTGATATGACACGGAAGATGTTAATTATTTGAGTTAGTAGTCAATGAATCCCGCTCTTATTGGTTTAAATGATTTTCAAATGAGGTGGCACTACTTGCTCAACTTTACTTCGAAAGTGATCGAGGACGCCTGATTGTGTTCGAGAAACGCTGGAATGTTTTAGAGTACCACTCAAAAGAGATCAAATAACGATCGAAACTGATTGAATAACGCTCGAAAATGATTAAGTAATACTTAAAAGTGATTAAGAAGATCGAAAATTTTAAGGACGCTTGATCATTTTAAAATATCCTCTCAATTATCGTTCCATCTGTGTACTCTTCTAGTGTTATTGCTGTATTTACAATATGCATAACATAACTTCACATCACACCTTTTATCCCTGAAGGGGTAGACAAAAGTGCACATTACGGCACTTGATGCCACTGTACAATGTAACACCCACCCCTCACCATTTATGTTATGAGTCTCATGTAATAGGGAGTAAGCCTATATGTACTAACCTAAAAGGAAATTAATTCTGCTGTGAGGACTGGGCGCATATTAATAGATGGTAGCGCATAGCCTTAGATTTGTAAGTTTATCTATATTATGCACAAATTAGTTTTCTAAACTTGGTAATAAAAACATAATGATGTTGTTTTAACACGAATGTTAGTCAAAATAAGAAGCAAGACCTACAGACAGTATTGATGGAATTCTAAATTTAATTAAAATTCCATACAAGTCGTAAATCATCATTAAGAAAGTGGAGCTCTGTTTCTTTCAAATACAAAGGAACTATGAAATCACCAATAAATAATAATATATGTTTGTAGCAAATATTTTGAGCTGTCGTTCATGCAATTAGTGATATCGAAAAACAATTTTGCTTTCTTTCTTTCTAAAACCTGTAATTCTAGAAAAGTGAACTTGCATATTCAAGTATTTAAATAACTTTGATTGGTGTCTTCTATAAGTAATATAGACGTCAGATATAAGCAAAACTTAGAACAAAGTTTAAAAAATAAATCATAAAAATATGGTTAAAAAATTCTGTAGAACAAAAGACATAAACGCGTTAACAAAAAAATCAACAAGTTTATTTAGTTCAAGACATTATGTTTTCAAGTTATAAGTCGTCCTCTCTGGTCTCCTGTCTCCTGATTGTAGGTGAACAGCCAGCGTAGCATCTTCCACAGAGCCTCCGTGTCCTCGCAGTGGATTTTGTAGCATTGTTTCATAGTGCGCCGGGGCAGCGTTCGTGGTCTGCAATACCATAGCATTGGAGAGTTATAATAAGTTCTTTTTAGTATCCACTGCTATCAAGATAGTTATTGTCTTTGACTTTGTGTGTGAATACCAATACTTACGGGACGTAGTTCCTCTCGGAATGCAGTTCGCAGAGCAGCCTCCTCCTGCAGCGCTCGCTGATCGGTGTTATGTTTGTCACGCCGGGGTCCGAGCGACGATACGGGAGAGAAGAAGGCTTTCTGAAACAATAGTTATATGTATAACTTAAGAAATATAGTTACGAGACGTCTCGGATGGTTTCATCATCATTATCATCATATCAGTCCCAAGACGTCCACCTCCGAACAGAGGTCTTTATTACCGGATAACCTGGTTGGAAGCGACCAGCAGCCAGCGGCTTCTTGAATAGTTTTAAGGCGGTTTTCTTAGTACTATCTTTCTTAAATCTTTTTTTCAACTACATGAAGTAGTTTGGTCTGGTAATCCACAAGTTTGTGTGGAACATTCCATGCATGTGATGCATGCGTGCTATATTTCACTACTTACAAAGTGAATCATGTAGCTACAATAATTACTGAGTGCTATCCATTTGTAGTAAAGAGCCTGCACTTGTAACATACATATAAATAATGTAGTTTCCCTAAGTACGTACATATATGCATGATGCATGCGTATACATATATCCACTAAGTGTTGCGCAATATACGGAGGTGCGCGTCTCTTCCGCGCATGCGCTACGTACGCTTGACCTATTCACATGCACTGCTGCATCACTGCATGCTGAAAGAGGGAACTGACCACACATTTAGTTGTATTTATTTAAAAAAAATACTGTAATACTACCTCATAGGTCGAGTAGTAACATCTAGACTTCGCCTCATATGCAATAATCATTATATATTGCACGTTATATAAAGATTTAGTTACAAGAGGTAAAAATGTATTTGCTGCTATCAACGAATATTTCCAAATGATAAAAGTCAGCAATAAATAAAATTATGTAAATTAAAATATTGGAGTCATTGGTCAGTGAACATGAAATCCGCGTAAAACCCTAACAGTAAAGTTATTGGTCACGATTACCATCGCGCGTCGGTTTCCTCAACATATCAAACATCAGACTTTCTATGATAAGCAGCGCATACGTCGTGGTTCTTTTATTCCTGTACAGAGAATAGCGATCTCAACAAAAACACCGGTAATAATTACGTATGTACCTACTTATAGTACGTACTTGTCGGTGGAACTTGAGAATGAATGCATTTCGTTTCAGTCGAGATATCGACGATAACATAAGTTACAGATAAGTCAGCTTACATACTGTGTAAATATTTCGTATGTCATATGAAGTTATAATAAATGCAAGGAGTGGGTTCCATATAAAGATCAAACTTAGTTTCATGCTAACTGAGAAACGCCTGTGTTAAAAAACTGATGGTGACGGCGTGATGCTGATGAAAAGGACTATACTAAATGTGATGGTCGTTAATGAAGAAATGCCTTTACTTCTCGTGTCATCAATCAGCGATGGCGTGTGTCGTGCGCGTGCGCTGTGCATAGTAATCGCGTGGCACGCCGCACTTCTATATCCGCGATAGTCGCACGCCATCCAAATGTAATCGATCGGAAAACATAGATGTAGTGATGTGAGAAGAGCCGTGTCGGGCTCAGTTCAGGTGTGCTCATGGTTAGATTTCATTCTTATTTATTTTTTTAAGGGTGGAAATTCAACCAATGTAAATCCTATGTAAAATCATTCAGTGAGACGAGAGGGACTGTTCTGTTACTCAGATCTCGTGGGTGAACAGGTACTACTCCTGCTTTGTAATCGAGTCCCGGTTACCCATTAAGTTGTCCGCAGTTCCGAATCTGGAAAGCCCTGCTAGGCCCTATCTGTGGTGGCCTGACGGTTCTTTGAGGAGCGTGCGGATATAATTGAAGCTAAGGTTTCAATTAACTATGTTGTGTTGTGTAGAGGATTCGAGGCCTACAGCCAAGTAGTGCACTGATATGGGCTTTTGATGATGTTGAGAAATGTAAGTTATCACAAAGAGTCTAGTGTTTAAAAAGTATGTAAACCTCCTTGTTAACTTGAATACCTCTGTACATATATTACCTTGTACGGCTTGTACTCTTCCATGTATTGTTTATAGATCTATGTCATGGAGTGATAGTAGAGGAGGAAGTACAGAATCCTGTTCACACCTTTGTATTTGTAGAATATTTGGCTAATACAATAACGATGTAACATTACAGCGTATCTAAGATGGTTCTACACATCTACACATATATATATATATCAAGTATGATAGTAATAACTGACAAATAATTTTATTACCATGATTTAGTAGTGCTTGTGTGTGTTTAAATCAAAATAAAATTTTATACTATTGTGAAAATAAAACTGTTGGGTCATTGACCTACAGAAATAACTACTAATTGCTATCAGTATATTATGATACGTTTATCAGCTACCTTCAGGTACACGGTATGGTAATCAGTAATCAAAATGTGTTATTACAAATACACAAATCAGCAATTATCGCTTGCTGATAATATTTTGCGTAATATTTACTAGGTTTGCATTAAAATGACATGGCAACTGAATTTGCAGTTACTTTGTGGGAGGAACCAGAATAATTTACTTTGGATTTCTATGATGCTGTGTGTGGAAAATATAAATTAATGGTATACTGACATGTTGTCGTCCACGTTATGGATGGTGATGACGCTGGGAGTGAGCGCAGAGATGATCAGCCCCACTGGGATGAAAGCTGTCACCAGCCGAAGCAGGTTCTGCCACGGGTTGACACTGCAATAATACATAATTACGATTAAAGATTATGAGTCGCGGTATAGCCCGAAACTAGTTGAGGATATCTGAATTACAGAAACTATGGGAAATTTTGCTATATTATTAAAGGCCTAAAATACAAATAGTCGTGCACAGTAACATAACACGTCAATAAATAAATTACATAACAATTTTAAAAGTGTTATTAATAAAAATAATTTATTTATTTTTCCCGATATGACACCGAAACGTAATAAAACGCATTGTAATAATAAAAAAGATAGTGCATGTCAATGTCCTTAATCGTCAACTCATAATTATTATGTGCTTGTGCAAATAATTGCGTGAAACGAGCCGTCTTTAAACGTATTTTAATAGCACTATTAGCAGCTGAATATAACAGACCTCCTAGACTTATCTAACACAATACATTATAAGATACATGCATACGTATCCAAGTATTAAACATTTCGAAAGTGGACTAGCAACAGACAGATCCTACATCATAGAGGTACCTATATTCACATGCCTATTTATTTAAATTATCATCGTAAAAGCACGGGGCGGCGCAGGAGTGATGCGTCAGTCAGTGCGCAGCACGGTGGTCTCACATTTACTATCACTTTGCGTATGCGCATCTATCTCTATTACTGTTTATGATATTTATCAATCATTGATTCTATCTTTGTTATACAAGTTTGAGTTGTGGGCTGGCTCGCAGGAAATGATGAGGATTTATTTCATTGATGCATTCGTAATTTAAAGGTTAAGAAGTTATATTAAGAGTAATTTTAGTCAGGCAGTGTTTTATTATTATTTTGATTGCCTATATCAACAGCAACATATAAGTGCTCCTGAGCACAGCCTCTTCTCACACGGAGAAGGTTTGAGTATTAATCACACACGATGTTATCCTTCACCGTTTGTCAGTGTTGTCTAAATAATCTCAGAAAGTACATATAACTCGGAAAAATCACATTGGTACTTGCCGTTCGCAGGTTTCGAGCCCGCACTCTCATGCATGAGAACCGGGCGTCTTAAACCTCTGGGCTAAGGTTATGGTCAAAACTTTCAATAAGTAAATATTTTTACTCAAACATAATTTCTCTACGACTTGCACAAGCCAGTGCTGTATGACTAGTTGTGTGCTTCCTAGAGGCGACGTGTTCTTACATTTTCTCACGTTGGAGGCAAGTTTTCACGTTTTTGTGTGGTTCTAGTGTCACTAGTGACACAAGATATTATGACGTCACACTGTTTCAAACGACTGTCTCCGACTAATGCTTAGTGCCTTGTGTCCTCACCTTCATTTACATTTCTCTCACGGACTGTAATATAAGTGCTTTATTGTAACGTGTCATATGACTTTATGAGTGTTACGTAACGCATTCCAGTAGATTTTTTCTTGAAAAGTAAGTTTCTTTAATTCTCTTGCTTTCGAGATTAAAGTCCAAAGTTGAAGTTACATACAACTTTAATATAAATGGGCTTCATTATAATATTTCCAGTGATATGAGTAATTATTGTTAATGTACGAATGTTTAACGAATGTTCGGTCAGTGAAAGGATATTTGCGATACATAGAGGTCACGCTGTGTCGGCTACGAGACAGTGGACGTTCAGAAGTGCCACTTCAGACACTGAGGTGTCATCAAAATTGACGTAAATGGACATGGATTGGCTATTGTTAGTAAAATAGTTGATAATTAAGTTATTATTGATACCCCGTGGGCCTCGACGTCTTACGCCCGCGGGTATAATGTTGACACTAATAATGTGTATATTGTAACAATTACTGTTGGTGACTGGTATATAAAATATTATGTAAGTAACTACGTACATGAAGTATGTGCATTAGAAAATATTTGTGTGTTAGTTTAAAATTGGAATCTTCATTTAAAAAAATAAATGTTGCCCTACATTAGGATTTTCTCCTGTGTCGTGGGTGCGTTTACAAACATACAATTTCACATACAGATGACACCCAGACCCGAAACAATAATTTGTGGATCACACAAAGAGTTGTTCCGTGCGGGAATCGAACTATTATTTAAAAAGTATTGCAGTCGATTAAATTATACATGCTATGTAGAGGTAGCTACTTCTGTAGCTTTATTCCACAGGAGAACAGTTGACCTTCTGTCCATTATGGTGTAGAACTGATTGCCCCCTACAGCTTTCCACTTCCCTCCATTGTTTTTAATGTGCAGATATTATTCAAGTATGTATTTATACCTTTTGCAGCCAATATAGTTATTGGATGGGGCTGCTATATCGGTCTTTACTCATGTGATAACACTGGTAGCGAATCTGGGAGATAGATTGAAATGAAGAGGATAGATAAAATGTATAGGTGTGACAAATGATATAAAAGAAACCCAAATAACTTAAGACAATGGTAGGAAGAAGACAAAGAAGAACAAATTATTCATTAAGCATATTTCCTTATATCCTCATTAACATTAAAAAAAACTTACCGCTTCTTAAGAGCATGCTCCTTCTCGTCCTCATGATACTCCAAACCGTACTCTTCAGCACTCTGAGGTTTGTCCTTGAAAGCTTCTGGTGACTTGTAGAGACCTCCAGCAGGAACCTTCACGGGGGCTTCGACTGTGGGTTTGGAGTCCAGGGAGTCCTGCCAACCCTCCCTGGTCTTAGTGTATATGGTGTCTTCAAACTTGTAAGGGAACTCCTCATGGGTGTAGTAGATCTCCTTCGGGATGTTATTGTAGCTCGGATGCTGGTAGTAAACTTCTTTTGGTGGGCTGAGGAGAATACAGTTGAGGGTTTTAAGTAGAGTGAGTAAGTCTTGTTTTAGTATAGAGTGTAAAGATCATTAATATTTTCAAGTGTGGGAGAAAGAGAGCCATGCTTCGGCACGAATGGGCCGGCTCGACCGGAGTGATACCACGGCCTTATAGAAAACAGACGTAAAACAATGCTTGCGTTGTGTTTCGTCGTGTGAGTGAGGTTACCGGAAGCCCAATTACCCCCTTCCCCAGTCTAGCCAATCCCCGAATCCCCCACAATCCTCAAACTCCTAATTTCCAAAAGGCCCGTAACGCACTTATAACGCCTCTGGTGTTTCGGGGGTCCATGGGCGACGCCGATTGCTTACTTACCAGCAGGTGATCCGTCTGCCCGTTTAGCGGCTTATCTCATAAAAAAAACAATATACTGAAACATACGAAATCCAAATTGCACAATAAAAGTGTCAATTACTTACTTCATGTTTTAACAATGATGAATGAATTAGTGATAAGATAGTGATAGTAAAATGAGTTACTTTATTTTGTAGCCAGTAAACAGTAACTGTTATATCTTACCTTAAGAACCCACTGGCAGGTTTCTTCTCGACAGGACCGACAGCTGGTGTGCGTATAACCTCAGCGTTCTCATCATCAAAGAAGCTCCCGAGATGTTGACTCGGCTTGAAGTCTTTCAATAGTTGCTTTGGTTCCTTAGTTTTATTGTTAACTTCTGTCAAATTAGATGGTGCAAAAGAAGATTCTATCTTCCAAGTTTGTGTGGGGAGAGTGTTCTTGGCTTCAGTCTTATTAGCTTCACTTTTATTTATAGTGACATCAGTTTTGTTAACAATAGTTTCTGTAGTACTGGGTTTGGTTTGAGTGTCGCTAAATCTTGAATGGATGTCATTTCTACTGATGTTCCTGTTGGGGACTGGGTACAAGGTGGTGATGTTGGCGTTCGATGTGTCAGTCTCCGCGAGAGTTGATGCTATGGAGATTAGCGGCAATATCCATAGAGCGAACTGTGGAGAAGAAAATGTTGGTTTATGTATATTGATTGTTTTGTAATCGTAGTAGTCTGAACTTCAATAATCTGAACATTTAGACAAGTTGGGAAGCTAAAGTTAGTTGATATTAGAAAAACCTCATAAGATTGACGAGTGACCTATTTGTACTATAGATTTACCTGGATGAACGAGCTTTGCTCAGTGTTTTTTTTAATAAACGACCTTTTCCCTAAATATAACCTAGCTAGATCAATTCACCGCCCCCGAAAACCACTTAATAAAAAAATCAAGAAAGTCGGTGAAGCGTTTCCGAGATCGTTGATAGATATACATAATATAACAATTGCTCGTTAAGGGTATTGCATTAGATAAACGCATAATGCCTATCCACGACTTTTCCTTTCACGCCCATAACATAAACATGAGACAAAAGCGTTTACGTCAGTGTTGTTATAGTACTACATAATGTGGTAGTGTAGTACTACTAGTAGTAGAGGCAGGCGGCAGGCGTGGTGACCAGACTCACTGCATGCAATACAAAGACGGACGAGCGCCGACCGGTCGCTGGGAAAGTATTCAAGACATTAAGTGAAGAAGAAACAAAATAAGCTAGACTAAGACATTAAATTAATCTGAACAGTAGATCGGTTGTAATCAAAAGTGATCTTACATTGTAAGCAATAGAATTGAAAACGTCTTGAAGTTACTAAATAAATAGTTAACTATTTAAGAGCAGATTTATTATACGGAAAGAAGGCAACGTAAAAATATGCTTTTGGTCCAATCATAGAATACCAGCGCTGTAGTAATAAAATATGCGAATTCATTCTTAACTTAAACGTTGTTTTCCACCTGTTAAAAAGTTGTTATGTCACATCCGAATTCTTTCGACACTGCGCGACATGTTCAGTGAACCGCGGGTCACAGCGTGAACTCGGCGACACCGCCGCACTAACAAATGTTATAGAGCTGTATAGATCCGGGAACGTGTTGGAGAAACCCCGAGCTGACTAGTTATGGGCTTTATCGTGACAAACAGAGACAAATAAGGCAGTGAGAGCCTTGCTAACAACCGTATCATTTGATCAGGGTGTCAGCTCTTATCGTCATCGTGATGGAAATTCGATTGCTTCTTTGATTGGGCTGTAAATTCAATCGATTGTACTATATTTGTATTTGTTTTCTAGTTGTTTCAAAGTGAAACTTCATCACTATTTTCTAATATAATTGATAACAAGTACCATAATAAGTTAACGAAGATCAACTTGGAGAGGATGGATAATTTAAACACTGTACTGATATACTAATCGCGCATAATATAACAAATACAATGCTTGCTGCTCACATCGTAGAAAACATTTCCCCGTACCCTTGGTATATAAATCCCGGTAACGAAACCACAGCGCCGTCTAACTCGATCCCAACGCCATCTATCGAGCGCTGGGACAACTCGTGTTAATTATAAATTATTTTTTAAAATATGTTGATAGCGCTAGCGATAGCGAATCCCGGAGAACCAAATAAACAACCAGAATAAATATGAATATAAAGAAAAGCTAAATTACTTCGTTGAAGTTTCACGAACGGGATAAGCCGTATAGATTCCATAGTAATTCATATGATTAGATGATATTTTAAATTAAGCTTCTAACCACTCATTACCGTATGCTTAATGAGTATTACATGACCTCAGTTATTGTTAACTGTTTATTAGTTAGTTACGTGCTTGAGTTTAACTGACAATCTATTACAAATGACTGACACAGCACAGAGGTCGAGAGTGCCATTACATCACTTATCATTAGCCGCATACCTCAGTCATAGCTGATGACTTATGTAATCAGGTAATATGGCGGCGCTTCAGAAGTCAAGGCATGTCATCAGTCGCTGCTGGGGACTGACTGAGAGGCTGATGGACACCCACGCTTTAAATGTTATGAAGAACATGCTCACTTCAAATTAATAAGTCGAGAGATTCTTGGTTGGACACGCAATGGTTTAAATGTGGGTAATAAGTGTATGTACGTTATGTATGCCCATAGGTTTTGATTATTACAATGGCATTAATATTGTCAAAATGGCATTGAAACTGGACTTTATTATATTCTTTATTATTTTTTAAGTTGTTGCACCCTTATCTTGATAGGTAATAATAATCAATTTTAGGTTACAAGTGTTTCTTGCATATCTTAAAAAATATGAATAGGGATGATGTAAGTTAGGTAATAAAAAACTATTAAATAATAAAACAATACTTAGATAAAAAGAATCAAAGTTTAGGGGGGGGGGCTAAAACGTCATTTCTACATATAAAATGTACATAGAAGTGACGTCACGCGACATTACAAATGAATATATCGTCGAAAGTATTCGTTTCTGTAAGAAAATAAAAAATACGTGTCTAATGATTTAAAATAATCTACCAGACGGACATTAAAATAAAAATTAGTCATCTACCCTATTAATTATCTAAAAATCTATTATTGGTATGTTGCGTATTTTCCTGTGTTTTTGGAAAACCCACAGATACTCCAATATAAAGTCAATGACTTTCTCTGGTGACTGATGCAATATTCTTATAATATTGATATACATGTCCTCGAACACTGACTGCCTTGTTGGTCGATTGTTAATTCAACTGCTGAACCCTGGTCACGGACTGGTTCGTGAGAAAATAGCAATCCTCCGGCTGTCCCTCAGACGAGTACTATGGCGGTTGGGCTCACATCACATCCAGGACATACATATATTTCCTTCCAGATAAAAATATGTAAACTCACCATGATATTATTTAAAACAGTGATGATATCACATAGGATAGGTGAAACGAGGGTATAAATTACAAGTATAGGTTCTTATCACAACCAGCCATTACTTAGCTAATATTATTCCAATAATTCTGTGGTTAATCTACTCGTGTACAGTTTATATACCTAATAAAGTAAAAAAAAGATTAAACATTTATTATTTACGCGCGATTATCGATTATTTCGCGAAATATGTAGAGGTATGTGTAGGGTTATCTCTATCTATTTATTTATTTTAGCTGGTGTCAAACGGGTTTTAGATTAAATACAGCCTTCCGGTAGATAAAGTAAGTGAAATAATATAATTATGGATTGTTTACAGTTAATCTAAATACATAATATTTTGTTTATTATCTTCATTTTTTTTCATTTTAGAAATCTTAGCACAAATTCAATCGATCTTTACAATGCAAGGAGTGCATACTAGTACCACCTGTTAACTGGACATTATTTGGTTATTGAAATCGAACATGAATTGTCTTTTAGTCGGTCAAATCTGCAACCTGCGCCAGCGCCGCGGCGCCGGTGTAAGCGAACTAGGATTATTGTGTGGTAGGAGTAAGGGGGGGGAGCAACCATCGGTCAGTGACTTACCGTTTTGGGTGAAAGTGAGCGCGTTATGCAACGTCTACATAACAGCGAGCCTGCGCCGCCGCACCGCCGTACTCTGTCACGGTCAGCCTCGCCGACCACACTCATTACATTCAAAATCGATTTTATTTCAGTGAGCTTCCATTAATGGAATTTTTCTTCAGCGATTATAATGGTTGAGTTTATTTGTTTCACGGGTATAATCGGGTTAGGGAGATTGTGAATGTTATTTGCAGTATTTTTTAATAGAAGTATAAAATGATATAACATAAGTGCATCGTATACGATAGTATTCAATTAATTTATGAAATAGCGTAGATATACAAGATTGTTCTAGAAATAGATAAAAGTATTCTAACCAATGCTGGTCACCTACACTACCATGAACACATACCCCGTATTAGATCCACGTAGCATGTGGACCTTCTAGACTAAAGCAGTAATCAACACTTATACCTATATATTTTTTTATTAGTTGTTGTTTTTTAGTCAGTAAGACTGACACTCCCTCCCGCCTTAACTAGGCGGGAGAAGTCATTCGACGATTTTCCCCCCTTAAAAACCTTTATATTATTAATGGAACCTAAAAGCAGTTTACCTACTGTATTTATATAGTTTTTATATATTTATGTAGTTATATAGTTTTCTCAAATAACATAACGCCACTGTTTTTAGTACCCGAAGGAGTAGGCGAAAGAGAACCACAACATTAATAATTTTACGTTTATACGAAGTCTGTGATAAAAATGTTAAACTAATTATTCAATAGTGACGTCATCTGATTACTGTTACATAACGGACTAATGTTATGTTATAATGTGTATTAGCTGATATCGAGAAAGTCCGCACTTATTAACTACAAGATCATAGTATGGATGACGCTATTAAATATTTTGCTGAGATTACACCATTAATTTACTGGGTAGTCAAGTATTAATACTGTATGTATAAATTTCTTAGTTGTATTCTCCAAAATTGAGAAAAGTCGATTTTTGCAATTAACAATGCTTCTCATGCATGAGGGTACAAAAGTTGGCAAATACCAATATGATGTTTTCCAAGATAAGTGTACTTTTTAAGATTATTTAAACACCAGTTGCCAACAGACTACCTCGTTGGCAAGAGCGACTACTAGGCAAGGGGTCTCGGGTTCGATTCCTGGGTCGGAAAAGTATTACTGAGTATTTAAAAAAATATCAGTAGTAGCACGGAGTCTGAAATTGTGCCCGGTAAATGGCAATAGGCTCACCTACTATTACATGGGACTTCATAAATAGTTAACAGTGGATGTTACATTGTATAGTGACATTAAGTACCGGAATGTGCACCTCTGCCTACCCCTTTGGGCATAAACGGCGTGATGTTATGTAAAACGATAAAAAAGTTGAAAACATATTTTTAGGCGTTGTGGATCCTGGACTTTTCCTGAGAGTTTAATTTCATTAAGAATATTGTGGTTTTGTTATATTTCTTAATGTAAGGACTACTCTGGATGAAAGACTGATTGATGATATTCAAGTTGCTAATAAATAAAAAAATGGTTAAGTTAATAAATAATTAAAATGAAGAATGGACCGGTAGAGAAAAAATCCATTTGTATCTACTTTTTATCTAATTTATATCTATATTAGGAAATGTAGGCGTAAGTTTACACATCTACCCACTCTTTAAGTTTACCGCCGCCCGTCGACAAATTAAAGGTTTGAATATATTAATTAACAAAGCTATGTTAATGAGCACAATATATCAATTAGCGCTCGTTGATTATGACGTCCATTATATACACATTTATTATATCTTATGAATACGGAATGGCTTCTCATTTAATAATTAAGATATACGAATGTATGTATGTAAAGTTAAGTCGTACTGCCGCCCCTTTAAGTTGGTTTGTTGGTTTCGAAATCACAAGCACCCTGACATTCAAGAATCAAATACTTTTGAAAACGAGGTGTTGAAATTAAAGATTAACTGTTTATCACAATCACTAGATATACTTATTGTTAGACCTAACGATTGGATCACCGAAACTACTCATCATATGATGATGATGATCCTTACACATTACCTGGGGGCTTAGACAAAGTAACAATTTAAAAACGATAACGAAGTTAGTTAAGACTAAAATGTATGGGATTGACATAAGCCGCGTTAAGTCACGTGGTCAATCGATATCGTTATCGCAATTTGGTAGACAATGTTATATTTCATAACGAAACTATAAAATAACGAATCGTTATCGTGTTTATTCCATATAAATGCGTAGACAAGCAGACCTTTCAGTGTTCGCCAACGCCTCGATCGTGATCGCCAAAAACGATAACGAAACGAATGCTAAAAGGTTGTAGTTATTGAAACAATATGGCCGAATTTCATTATTGATCCTGTTATTATTTATTTTCTGTTAGAGGAAATACACTAATACAGATCAAATAGATTAAAAAATGCATTCTCTGCGTTTATTGTGGGCTGCACACAATGAGACCGACTGGGAGAGATGCCAAAAATGGTTAAGACAGCGACGGTTCAATATAGGTACTTCATTGTTAAGATCGCGTCATTGTTTACATAACATACTCATGAATGAAACTTAGATTTACTTACGTTTCCATATACTCGAGCAGCGTTGCGAATTGTTCAGGACTTGCTCGCACTCTTGATTCCATGTTTTATCACTAAATATTAAAATAGATAAGAGATAGAGAGAGATCCATCATCGTTTGAACACCAGTCACTTATAAAAATGAGTCTATTTTGATTATCATTAAGTTTTGAAAACGATCTAAAAGTAATAACACTCTATTCACTTACGACTGTAAAATTATCGTTTATATTTAACTTAAAAACAATTAAACGCAACACTGACTTTCTTATTAATAAAGTTTTAAAACATCAATATCTCGCGAGTTTGATCCGATTTGAACATTTTGACTGTCACTGACAGCTGGATTTTCGATACCATAACCAATATTTTGGTTTTTTGCCGAATAAAGAATTCGACACAACGATCACGACCATAGTGTTACATTAGCTAGGAAATGTTTATCGTTATCTCAGAGACGATGGCGAATTTACTTTTCGTTTCGCTATTAAGCGATGTTACTTTGTCTAAGGACCCTGATAAGTTTGGTTGTGGAATGCACTCTCCCTGGATGTCAGGATGGTGCCCACTCGTCTAACATTTAAACAGAAAGTACGTGAGCTTCTCTTAGAGAGGTTGACGAATCATCACGCTAATTATTCACTGTGTATTATTAGCTATGTATTTATTTATATATTATGTGTGTGTGTGTGTATGTATATTGTATTGTACTCGCGTGTAGGTATATATTATAATTATATTTATTTATGATTATCTCTGAAATATGCAAGTGTATCTTCTGTTTGTTCTACATTCACTCTTCTCTGCATCACCCAAAGGTCAGACTGGGAGAAAATGGCTGCGACATTAAGTCCGCTTAATGTACACTTTGTACATGAAGCTTAAATAAATAAATGTCCAATAAACGTGAGTAAGCCGAAAAACATAATAATTAATTTACTATTTCTCACGAAAGTTGTTGCATATAGAAGGTAAGATGAAGTAAGAGAATTTTCATCGGTTTCATTCAAAGGAATGTTTAAATTTATTTACCCATTCATCGTTATCGGTATTCCAATCAGGATATTATGATTGTTTACCAAAATAGGCAGTCTGTACTTATTCGTGAGGTCTGGCGGCCGCGCCTGTGTCTGGCATCCCAAACAAGGTTTGAAGTAATTATTGAAGTTCATGGTGAAAGAGGCGCTGTGACTGAGAGACCGGGCTGCTGGCTGGTACCTAGCTTGTAACACTAATGACAATGACTACTTAATTGTTGCTATGAATTTTTACTGGAATTCCTGACTTATATAATGCTGTGTGCATTTTCCCAACGCGTGATCCATGGGCTATTGTAATCTGGATTTAGCATGTACTAATTATGCCACATGACGTGATTTGTGTATTTAAAACTAAAAATTTAGATCTATGTATTTGTCGACGGACATATCTGTGTTAATATTTATGCTGAGCAGTTGTGCTGACTAATTTATCATAATTAAAACACTGTGGCGTGGCGTTCCGCTCGCGCTTGTTGGGGCTTCGGCTTGAAGAACAGAAGCCGGTAGCGAGGTGGTTTTTAGTCAGTAGGAGTCTAATACTCCCTCTCGCCTCACCAAGAAGCAGGATAACCCATTGGATGACCCCCCCCCCCCCTCAAAAGAAAATGGTGTAAATGGCAGCACATTTTTACACAAATATAGAAAGCCTATTCAGTACTATTTATTGGTATACAAGTCTACACACTTTACACAGGTCGTAAAGCCATCAAATACTGTGTAATGGCAGGCACGGTGTCTGTCACCATGGTGTCTGGCCCCACAGGTGAGGACAGTGAAAGTGTTCGAGCTGCGCCCGCGCACCATGCACTGTGGCACCGTGGGAATACTCTACGCTACGTTTTATTGATACTAAATGTAATATACACTGATAGGTAGTTGTAAGGTGGGAATGTTTGACGTTTTGTGAAAAATCTAGTTATGAAGTGGATTTTATTTCAGTTTTTAAGTCGATTAATCTTTACGGACGTCTAGATATTCGTAAAATATGGAAAATAGTTTTTTGGTTTGAATATTCTTGTCATAAACACAACATGCAGATCAAATGGAAAAAGCCGAAAAGCGTAGTACCGACATATCCAAGTTAATACATCAGATGTTAATATTGGAAGTGAACCGTCCTATCTTAATCCACAAAACTATTTCATAAATGTAGATAGCAGATATCACTACCACGTGACATATAATATTTACTACCACTTACAATTATTAACAACAACATATAATGACACGTAACACATATATTAGTATTTTTATCATTCCCCCTATCTTACACAAGTGCCCGCAACACGGGGCCTATTACGAAACGTCTCGGGTTTACGATCAATCACAAATTCACAATCGAATATCGATATAAATAATCGATACATCGTTATCGGGTTATCTTAGTTAACGTCCGTGAGTTAATCTCTCGATGGTTCAACTTGAACCTTAATAGAGTTATTGTCTTACAATAGTTTTATCGAGTTATTTGTTTGTGAAGGTAATGACGGTGGTTACGCAACCAATACTTGGTTTTGTGTTAAAATAGAGAGTTGTTTATTATTTGTGCTGATGGCTGTAATATATCTCTAATCGCATTCCTCATGGGATTAACTTTGTAAAGAGTTGAAGTATTTACAATGTATTTGAATGTTTTGTGTTGCGTAGGCGCGCTTTGAAAGCTTTTCTGATGATTTTATTAAATTAAGTGAATAGTGCATTTGTTTAAATTAAAATAATATAAAGCGGGGTGCACTTACTCACCATCCTGCACGCACTACATGTCACAACTTTCTGTTTAAGTATAACGTTGTCTTATATTTATAATATCTCGGAGACGCGTCGCCATTGTGGCGTCAGGTGAAAAGCGCGCAATTTTCCGCGCCGCGCATGCGCACATTGTACCTGCGCATAAACCGACGCGTAGCCTGCTGCTTAATTATTTCCACGTCTGCGCAACTTTTGACGTAACGCCCATTTCAATTATAGGGACAAAGTTTTTCTTTTGTTTATATTCCGTCTTACAGTTGTGTGATACTTCTGTTTATTAATTTTCATCTTTACATCACTATTGTATGATGACACAGTTTTTGAACTACTCCATTCTTTAAGGAACTGATTACTAGTATTAACAGTACGGAAAAATTCGCTTAATGTTGTAGTACAACCAAATAATTAGGATTAAAAGTCTTCAACTATAAAAAAATAATTTAATATCCTTAAAAACTACGTTATAAATAAATTACATCTATGATTCGATAGTCTCTGTCGGTGTGTCTGTCTATACGTAGTAGTACTGTGTCTTGGCGTGCTGCAGCACATGCTTGTTGGCCCAGTAGTTCTCCAGCACCAGCTCTTGCCGTCTGCTGTTCACCACCACCGCGAAGTATAAGAGGAGAGCTGAAAACAAATATATAGAATCAATATAAGCGATTATCACTGTTTATATGTTATGGAAGACGCTTCCAACTGGGCGATCTGAAAGCCTTTGGGGAATGCTTATCTACGGTCTGTGGTGATAATACTATGAAAATTTATAACTTATATTTACAAAGGAGTCTTTGATACCTTTTTACATTCAATTCAAGAAATCTACTTTGTTTGAAGATCCTTAAATAAATCCAGAATGAAATCCTACAATAAAAACATTAACACTAGATGAATAGGAACGTACATATATTCACACATATCACAACTCAGAACATCTTTAGAGGCATCATCTAGCAAAACACAGGCACACAACAAGACTACATTTAGCGAATAATCACGACTATAATAGTCATCCTTCCATGCGCGGGATCTTTGACCTCAGACCACATAACACAGTACAACACAGGTAATTACAATGGTTACACAAATGTCCCTGCACTGACAATACGTAAGCACCACTCAGTTGACTCAGTATTGTGCGCTCCACGCTCTGTGGCTACGTAAAGCAGTGTGAAAGAAACTATTTTTGGTACATTGTAATTTGTGATCTCTAGGTAAGAGCCCTTTTGTCTAAACGCATCATAGTTAGGTAAGTATGGATATGGATGTTAATGTCACGCTTTTCTTCCCTGTATGTTTGTCAAATAACTTTTTAATATACATTTGTTTTCTTTGGAACTTTTAAAGTTTCTACAGAATCATTCTTTGTTAGGAAATTTGATCGTTTTTAACACTTTTTAAACCACTGAATATTTGTTTTCAAAAAATAGGTAAGTTTGAATGTGCCAAAGACCGAGTCAATTACCTATTACAGATTAAGATCTGTACATGCTTAAACCAACATTTGATGTAAACTAATTGATGATAACCGACGAGCATGCATGGAAAGATTGATGACTGTTGATGAAGCGAAAGAGGTATGTAGAAAACGTAGTAATTGGCGTTCTATAGTCTCTGCCGACCCCCATGGGAGTCAGGTATGAACTTATGTATGTATGAATTGATAACACGAATGTACAAAAATTACTTATGGATAAGATTCTAAGATTTAAAAGAGTTTTACAATTGACAAAATATTTTGCGGAATTAACGAAAGTATATTGGCGCCAAGCATTGATAAGAGGCGTACCACTTCAGGGAAAGGATCGAGTTATCTATCGGAAAGCAAATCTGTCTAATCATCAGCATTAGCTATCGTAAACAAATTGTGTTATCTGTCAGTACTAAGTAGCAGGTAAAGGCACCTCCATAGTGCTTCCACTAACAATAAATATGACGATATCTAGAGTGTTGTAAACAGTCCTTTGAAGGGGAATTTTCGACCTTATCTATCTTTATCTTTAGGTGCATGAGCCAATGACCATTTCATTGTTGGACGGTAATCTATTATGGTTCTCTGAAATCATCTTTTCTGGTCTGGGGAATATAATTGTCATGGACTTGTCACACTAGGTGATGTGCTTAACACATGAGGGTCACCGGGGACCGACGACGTTAGCGGAGGATTTTCCTTTAGCAGTTTTCTATTGGCAGTCAAAGGCTTAATTATTATAAAGAGTGTCTTAAGTTAGAAAACGTTCATTATCCGATACGGTCAAATAGAATATTTTTTTCTTTACCATTATTTTTACTTTGGGTGTTGGAAGAACCAACTAGAAGACTATAGTTACACATTACAGAAACCTGCCAGGAGCGCTCTTTGATTTACTTGAATCTTTACAACTGCAAACTTTTCACGCCTGGTGACTGTGGAGATTATGACAAACTCACTCTCTTAAGGGGACTGGTGACTGAATAGGTACTAAATACAAAATACTTATTAATAAAATAATGTAGATAATCGTTTAGACAGGCCTTAGAGCTCACTGAACACATACACTTACGCTTATGTCGTTTAGGTATGTAGGCAGATACTACACACTACTACGTTCCTTATTCATACATTTGGTCATTCCAGCTCATAAGAACCATTTTGAAGGATCTGTCCAATAAGTTATCCACCTGAATAGACGAAGTAGACGGATATCACAGCGCTAGCCTCTCCGATGGTGTCGATGTTCCTGCTGAAGGTGAGCAGCACCATGCCGGCCACCGTCAGCACCACCAGCACCAGCCCCTTCCACCACGCCAGCACCAGCCACGGCCACATCAACTGCGGCTTCCTCTGTAACGTTACATGCACAATACTTTAATAACAAAATCCATTTTACGTCGAAAATAGTTTTTCTTAAATTACTGATGCTGTCTATTGATATAGAGGTAAGTACCTATCTCCTTTGGTCAGGGTTTCCTCAGTGAATATCCTGTATCACTCAATACCTAATCACTCAGTAAGTATAAAATATGAAGCTCCAGTGAAGAAACTCCAAATGTAATCGTAGCTTAATCAAGTTTCCGAAAAATTAGAGTTAGATTTTGTTCCTACTATCTCTTGGTTATGAACATTTAGGTACATACTTAAAAACAAGATAAACGTCCTTTTTATTTAATTTTACACTATTTATTTGAATAACTTATTTATTTTATTTATTTATTTAGTCTTTAATGCACACCAATTGATTAAATAGTAGCACATAAGGCGAACTTAATACAATATGGCATATTGGCATTATCTACCAGTCAACCTTTGGGTTTAATAATTCTTATGTATAGAATTTGGGATATTGTACATTATTATTTATGAAGCGGTATCCGGTAAAACTATTTTATTATTATAGTTAAATTACTATCAAAAGGAAAGAAGTCATAAATACCTGATAGATTACAGAATAATCCGAATTATCAGATTTACCTAGTGGATGGTACTTACAAGGAAAAGATTAAAAATTGTGCCACACCTACTTACATTCTAGTCGCCTTGTAAACACATATACAATCACAACACGTTGTAATAGATACACACAGATTGTTGTTTAGTATGTCAATCTCAAATTGTACCGGAAAATTGCTTAGATCAGAATTGTGACTTGAATGAAAATTTTACATATCAACAAATTAAAGAAATGATGTTAGTAAGCACCTGTTGTAGGAAATCTTTATAATACCATACTTTTTATACACACGTTAATTTAATTTAATTTGCTGGAAAAGTGGTACATTTACAGTGGTACACCTGGACAGGCATGCAAATATTTAATGTCATAAATTAATACATTAAAATGTTGTTCACATACCTAAATACCTACGTATATCTAGAACATCCTGTATGTATTGTTGTTCCACATACATAAGACATCGCAATTCGCACGTATGTACATGCTTATCACCAAATCTATATTATTTGGACTTATTGTGATTGTATCATACTCGTAATGTGCTGTTTTCGTGTATTAAACAGTTATTTATTGCATTTAATTCTATTATGAGGAATAACATAACATTTTGGATTCTTATCTAAATGTTGAAATGTTGACATTAAGTGTCGCAGCTTGTTGTAACTGATATATTGTATTGAACGCTTGAAGCACTTGTACTTGTATTCCAGTGCATCAGTGTACTACTGAATTTAATATCAAAATATGAATGTATATATAACATCATGCCAGTTATTCCCCGAAAGCAGGGATTTATATACAGTAGGGAATTCGGTATCCACAATTTACTCCAGTAATAAAATTGAGTACTATTGTCCCATTTGGTCTGTGTAGTATTTATTCGATTTATCAACAGTTTTTTTTAAACCTCTCATATTTTTGATGATATCCTAATCATAGCGTGCACATTTTTTTTAAATTAAGTGCACTTTGCACAAGAATTAGGAATTGAATTTACATGGGAGAGCCTTACTACTGAAACACCGCTTGCGTTGTGAAAGTAAAGTTACCGGAAGCCCAATGAAAAAAGGTTGGTAACAATCTTGTAACTTCTCAGGGAAGCCGCCTGGTCATTTATGTTATGGGATAGGGGTACCATATAAAATAATGCAATAACGTTTACCTTAAACGAGGCATGTATCAACAGTCCCCCGATGAATATCTCGGCGAAGGCCAGGAGCGAGAGCGTCACGTAGAAGATGAGCCGGCTCTGGGGCAGGTCGCCCAGCGCCGCCAGTGGAGCGTACACCAGGAGCGCACATACTGCCAGGAACTGAAATCATGTACAGCGAAGATAGAAAACACGTTGATGTCTAATTGTTGGTATTGATAGAAAAATATCGTTAATTGACAGTTTTTGGAGGTACATAGCCTGTTATATTTGAGTTTCGTCTATTTGTCAATTAGCACAGCTAGATGCTCGTACCAAATAGTAAATTCGTATCAAGAATATTGAACAACAAACCCCTTCAACGTTATTTAATACTATTTCGGATTTACGCCTTATTAATCTCTTTGATATAACTTATACTACTACTACACTACTACTACTACTACACTACTACTACATTATGACGTCATTATCTGTCATACCTATTCTCCTACCTTCTTTGTTCATGTTTCTAGACATGGTATTAACTGCATAAATATTTTCCATTCAGTTCTGTGTATGTTGAATTAGATCACCTCTCACCAGATTGCCTGCATTATCTCATATTAGCTTACAAATATTTTGTTCAAATATCTGCATTAGATTAGTAAAATCAAGGTGTTCAACGCAATACAGGTCACTATTCAGTACTTAACTTAATTAGAACTTTATTTGTTATATAAAATTTTACCTCTTGTTTTTACTGACAAAATCTTATAGAAATGATGTCATTACTAAAAACACCTAGTTACCTGTGTTTTAAGTAAGTGTAATCACTTTAATATTTATTTGAATGAATTTTACAGCAGTCATAAAATAATTAGTCTGATAGCAGATAGCGAACATTTCACTAGATATTGTAACTCTACACACGTATACGTACTCCACATGCGACATACGAATACTACCTAATCGGAAAGGAATAAACTGCCGTCCAAAGGTTATAAGTGCTTCTTTGCACCAACCTCACCTTAAATTAAAGAAACACCTAAACTAAGATAGGTGATATTTTTGTTTTCACCAACCTATAAGTAACACCTAACAAGTAAGGGGTTTAGGAGTTTTTTTATACCATGGCAGTGGCAAAAAAGCACACGGCACACCTGATGGTAAGCGGTTACCGACGCCTATGTACACTTGCAACACATGGGCTTGCGATTTATACAATAGAGTGTGACGTCACACTGAGTAACTCTTAGTTAAGAGATGGTTTATATGTGGTTAGTGGAAACGGCCATTGTACTCCTAGTTATACTCCTTTACGAATAGTATTCGAATAAATTTCCTAAAATAAATAAACGGCTGTCCAAAGGTTCAGGTTTCAGGCAGTATTACGTATTTATTATTTATTTACGTTTTTATACAATATTTTCAGTTGTTTTTTATTGTTATTAATTTATGTTTGCGCATTGGGTGTATCATGCAATACATTATTATTCTTTCTTTCTTAATAAAAATACGTGTGACTGTACACAGGTATTGCTAATATTAATTGTGACATACTATATACTGAGTAAGGTATGATAATATTACTCATATACCTATTTATATTTATGTACCAATTCAATGTGACTGCGAGTGCATTGAACTGATTATTATCATCAAATCAAATGACAATACGAACGTCGCCTGTCTGCATTCCTAATTAACTATTTTGAGTCATTCTTGATTGGAATAAAATACAATAAAGCTACAAATGCTCCAAAATTACGTGTTTGGAAAATTATGTGCAGAACATAAATGTTTTCTGTAGTAAACCTAGTGTAAACCTAGCTTCACTGACGGACAGACTGACATACTATTATTTTGGATTTGTTGATATTTCAAAAGTACCAAATTATGGTTTAATTGAACAAAATGCTTTGACTTTGTTTATAATCTTTATAACTGGCTTTATGCATCTGATATTAACGCGTGTACCTGACAAAGTTATTTACATAACTGACGTCTATGCACCATGAATGCTTGATTTTGTAAAAGTGCAATTGAAAAAGTTTCAAATCACATCGACTTACGGTCCAAAATCACTTGATTGTTTTATGTAAATAGGAACACTGAACTAATGTTTTATAATAGTTTTTAATTCTAGTCGTTAGTAAAGCGTTTGTGTCCTAAGTTAAGATACTTTATTTTATGTTCCTACATTTTTTCAAAACTAAATTATGTACTCAGCTCTTTACTTTGGAAAAGAACAGATGTACACTTGCATAGGTTAAGAAGGTGAAGTAATATTCTGATGTGGTACTTGTACAAGTACTTATAGTGCAATATTAATTAGAAGTAAGTAATTATGCTACACAGCATACAGCTGTGTGACCACAAGCACTATGTTTGTAATTAGCTGTGTGTTATCAGCAAGCGGCTAGTGTTTGCAATCTATTAATTCCACGCTCTTATCTCTATACTTCTAACTTAGGTTTGGTATATTAACTTATATGTGGTCTGTGGTCGGAAAAAGTAATGCTGATTTTTTTATAAGTTTTTAGCAGTAGCACCGAGTTTGGGATTGTGCCCGGTATATGGCAATACCTTACCCCCTATTACATAATATAAATAGTGAAAAGTGGGTGTTCCTCTGTACAGTGGCATTAAATGCCGTAATGTCCACCTCTACCTACCCCTTCTTGCCTATAAGGAGTGATGTTATGTTATGTATATTGTGTGTACTGTGAAAATAGAAGGAGATATATTGCACCGACTGAGCCCTACGTAATTTGTGGTAGAGGCAGTAAGTAGAGCGATTTTGACTACACCGTTGTCAGTGTCTGGGAAATTGACTGTCGTGCTATGTGTCACAGTGTCGATGTATATATATAATGTGTGTGTATGTGTGAATGTGTGTATGTGTGTGTATTGTATATATATTGTGTGTATATTGGTGTGTTATATTTCGTACAAACGTAAATGAAACATAGGTTAACTAGATATGGGGGAAACGAAAATAAGGCATTAAGTACTGAATTTTTCGATAATTATTGCAGGTTAAATGATTTAAGATTGGGTAAAATTTGAAGAAGTTACCTACTGCATATATTTTATGAGTGTGCAAAACGATAAATATACCAAGTAGGTATGTATTGTTATTGTATGCACGGCACATTAAACTTGGACTCGGAGCAGTAATGTTATCTCGTATGATCTAATTACCTAGTTATGTAGCAGATAACTAGCAGACTGAGTACCTAAATGTCATCGTGAGAATTACTCTTCATTCTAACTTAGTGCTGACTACCTCGACAATTGGATGATCGTCGGCGGCCAAGCAAGTAAACGAGATCATTGGGACATTTTTGAGACAAGCTCGCCCCGTCCTACCAAAACCGCTCCAACTCCTGAATGCCAGGATCGATCTACAGTAGATACAACCATTAAAACACCGGGACACTGAAGTCCGGCGCGTCCCAGGGACATGAATGATTGTCTTGGGACTCGCAACGAAATAAATCAGAAGATATGATTAGAGGATATGAAGAAAACGATTGCTCCGATTTCCATTTGACTAAATCATGACACAGGGTTTATGCATTTCTTCACTACACTATTACAATGGAACTGAATACATATAATAAAATCGTAGGAAAGTGAAAACTAACTACACAATGTATATTTTTTTAAAAGAATGTTTGGGCGTAATCTGCAATCGATATCGAAGCCAAAATTAAGGATTTTTGAATTTTTGTCTGTTTGTCTGTATGTATGTCTGGGCTAAACTCAAAAAGTCCTGTATGGATTTACTTCAAATTTTGCATGAATATTACTAACAGGTCGGATCTACATATTATCACGCTATCACGTACGGGGGAGGAGCTGTGAATAACTATTTCACGCGGACGAAGTTCCAGGCACAGCTAGTCATCTATCTCCGGCCACCGTAAGCGCGGGCCTGCGGACGACGAGCATGGGTGGCTCGCCGTCCGCCCAGAATCAGACCCGAGCGTACGGCGCGTCGCGTTCCGTGCGTACCTCAAAGAGCCATCAGACCATCACGGATGGGGCCCAATAGGGCTGATACCGATACGGAGTCGCGGAGAACCAAACGGGTTACCGGCTCGAAGTGCAGGAGTAGGAACGGGGTGGTTTTAGTCAGTAAGAGTCTGACACTCCCTTCTGCCTCACCCAGGCGGGAGAAGTAATTCGAAAAGTTAGTCATCTAGATAATATGTATAGTACAATGTGTACCTTATGGAATAACATGTGGAACGTCGTAGTACATCACGACATGGCTCTTTAATGTTGTTTATCCGTGAAATTAATTTTCACGGCTAATCTCGTCGTGTCGGTATCTTTTCATCACAGTGCCATACTGTTTACATAGTACTAAAGATAATATATGTAGTAGATACAATATCAGCAGCCATTTTACGTAGATCGATATTACTATTTATTAGTTATGTAGGTAAGCACAAAGCAATGTCGATTAACATTTTCTAAAAAAGAAACGAATATGCTGCAAATTTTGTTAGCAATTTTTACTTGTAATATCAATCTAACCCCCGAAAGCCCCGAATACTGAAAGGCCATTTTAAGTTGTAAGTACTTTAATATCGTGCTATCTCTGTCATTTTACATAGAATTTGTTGTGACAGAACTTTATTTAAGTACGACTTAAAATTTAGTACGAAACGTTTCAGCATTTGGGCATAAATCTTTGTTATTATTTAAAAGAATGCACTATTTCAATTCTGTTTGTTAAATTGTGAAGACTGGAGAATTTTGAGTTTATAATTGATTCTTTAGTCTTGTGTCAAGTTCTTTACAACAATAAGTGTAGCGTAGACAATAGATAACTCTGTACCTAAGCTAGATATGTATAGATACCTATATTATCGAACCTATTACAAGTGTTGATGACAGATATAGTTTATTATGTTCCGGTTCTTTGTACCTACACAATATATATATATATGTAAAGTGGCCGCTTATCGAAGTGTTCGCAATAACTCCATCCAATCTCCTCCTCCACTACAGAGTAGCTGAGTGAGTACCGATGTAGCTCTTGACTCATGTTCCAAGAACTATTGTCATAATGTATTATTTTTATTTGATTTCTGTATATAGCTCAATCTTTAATGTTTATTGTCTACACTAACATTGTCCCCGGTCGTTGGTGCAAATAAGCACCATACTGCACAATAGCCGGCCACCCACCCACCGCAACAACCGTGCAGTTTTATTAATACGAACAATTCATTTATCAACAATTTGTACATTTCCAATAGGAAAACAAAATCTTTGATTTGTACATATGTGTAGTATATAAAGTGTGGGAGAGCCATGCTTCAGCACGAATCGACCGGCTCGACCGGAGTGATACCACGGCCGAGCAGAAAACCGACGTGACTCAATGCTTGCGTTGTGTGTGTGAGGTTACCGGGGGCCCAATTATCCCTCCCCCTCCCTAATTTCCCTAATCCTCAAATTCCAATCCCCAAAAAGCCGGTAACGCACTTGTAACGCCTCCGGTGTTTCAGGTGTCCATGGGCGACGCAATAAAAATAAATGTTTCACAAATAAACCTAACCTGGATTCTAAATTAAACGGTGAAAATAAATGGAAATAACATTTTGCAGGTTTTAAAAATTATGTGCTAAAATACATAATTACAATAAACTATACATATTTATATATATACCATTCAGCGCGTCGTCTGCGCATAAATTTAATTTTGAAGTCTTTTGATTTTGTCATCAATGAATTTATGACTGAAATGAAAACATTTTACTTTGGTGAACGGTAAAAATAAATACATATATAAAATAATTTCATACGAAGTGTTTTAGTATAAAGAAATAAATTAAAAACATATTATTATGAACTCGACAAAAGGTCGAACGTATTAATTAAAGGTCTACTAATCCAATAGATAATTAGCTGCACCTATCTAGATAACAGCTTGTAATTAATCCAATAGACGTGTTAAAAACATTTCATAGGAACCCTGCATACATATATTACCTGTTAAAATTTCAATAAAATATATGGAAATGAATTCAGTCCACAGTTGCATGTAAATAAACAAAACCATCGCGAAAAATATAGATTTTGAAAAATAAATAAATGTATACTAACAGTGTATAATATGCCGATGATCTTAGTACCAAGCTCCAGGCCGAAGCAGCAACAGCAGTTATCCACAGTCAAACACATGATTAATTGACTAAATAATTAACTTGAACTAATTATTTATAATTAAATCGACACTGAACCGGCTTATGAGACGTGTAGTCCGTCAGTCTCGCCACACGAACACTAGGCAACTGATAAGATTCCCTTAACTGCCACTATCTGCCGCTAGGGTGAAACCAATTATCAGCACTGTGTTAATCTATACCGACCACTATAACTTACTGTGTTTTACTAAAACTGTCAGCCAGCAGTGACATCAGGGTATATAAATACCTACATATATCAGTGCATATAAGACCGTAAACCAACTTTTTATGCATTTTTCAGAATGTATATCAGTTAAATTAATTTAGTGCCCAGGTGTCGTATTGATAAAATACAGTTCCATGGAAACTATTTGCGAAAACAAAATGATACTGGCTGTGTATCTGGACTATCTGGTGGATTTTATGACCATGATGTTTAAAAAGACGTGTTACCTATAAAATTTATTTAGTGAGATAAGCATAGTACATAGTACACAGTGTAAGGTTACGGTTAGCGTTACCTACTTACTATTTAACGCCCGCGTCACACACTCAAACAGATTTCTTATCAATCTTATTCAGATTTTCTTGGTACTTATGTTTGTCTCGCACCATGGCCGCCAAGATCGAGGTCTTAAAATATTACTGCTCGACTGAAGTGTATTTGGGCAATCATTGTTGTAATTACTTTTTATACATACATACATACATAACATCACGCCTTTTACCCCCGAAAGGGTAGGCAGAGGTGCACACAGAAGTGACATCCATTTTTCACTATTTATGTTTTGAGTGCCATGTAATACCAAAACTTTGCTGTCCACTTTTTATCTGCATTAGGTAATATTATGGTTTCCAATAAATAGTCTACCATTTAATCCTGCTCTCAAAATATTCATTAAAAGAGGGAGTAGCCACCTAGGTACCTTCTTGTTAGGAATTAGGTACACACAGCTGTTGCTTAATAAGGATGTCACGCTACTACTCATGTATTAACTACCTAGGTACTGTAAGTGGTGTAAGTGGATAACTAGGTAAAACGGAACACCCAAATGGGACACTCATTGCACTATTTGCACTCACTACTCGCTGCTGCACACGTTTCAAATCCGTCGTGTTTACGTAACACATAACGATGCAAGAATGCAGGTGATCACTGAAACAGGAAAGTACTTACCTAAACACGGACACCGTGCATTTGCAGCCAAAGGTACAAATGCTCGGTGTCCGGTGTCTCAAGAAACTATTTAACAGAAATTGTTTATATAATAAACAATTTCTTTTTACTGTCCATATTCCAGTAGTTACTCGATGGTAATTAAAAATCTAAAATCTGGATTGATTTAAATTGACCTAAACGAAAATCTATTCAACAAATTGTAGTTAGTACATTACCTAGTACAAAATCGATGTTTAATTCATATAATTTTCATTCAAATCTGCAATTCATTTCAGCCGTTATCTGCATATGTAGTAGAAAAGTAATTTTCTTTGTCTAAGCCTGTAGACGTTACTAGGTTTTATTTCTTAATCTGTTTTATCCTATATTTACATCGTAGTAAGTAGGTGCATTTTGTACACATATTGTGTATTAGTTAGTGAACGTGTATTTTTATAACCGAACTAGCGACCAGCCGGACGCACGGGTGCAATATGCATGTAGGTATTATACATATAAACCTTCCTTAAGAATCACTCTAACTTAAAAAAAAAAACATTAAAATCCGTTGCGTAGTTTTAAAGATCTAAGCATACATAGGGACAGACAGACGGCGGATAGCGACTTTGTTTTATACTATGTAGTGATGAACCGGACCGTTTCGGTGTGATCTTGAATATTTGATTGCATGTCTCGAGAATGTGTGTTTGCACATTAGAATTAACACTTTACGAAGGTTACTCAACTTTACAAGTCTGTCACAATTTACTAAATGGTTAATATATAACATCATAACATAACATCACGTCTTTTATTCCCGAAGGGGTAAACAGAGGTGCACATTACGGCAGTGAACGCCACTGTGCAATCATCCACCTTTCACTATTTATGTTATAAGTCCTATGTAATAGGGGGTGAGCCTATTGCCATGTACACAATTCCAGACTTCGTGCTACTACTGAGAATTTTTAAAAAACCCAGTAATAAGTACTTCTACTGTTAGGAGAGGTTTTTGCAATATGTAATCTATTCAGCAGCAGAAGAAAATAAGTAAATAAGATAACTACTTATAAACACAAAATACTATACAAAGTTTTCATCATAGTTTCTTGTTGTACGGTAGGTACAAAAAAAACAATCATTCGAACATAGTACCTCCTCCTTGTTTTTTTGAAGTCGGTAATTAATAATGATATTGATAAGTAGGTAATAAAGGGATGCGACCTACTCATTCTGACTAAGGCATCAATTTCACGTCCATTACCTACGCAAGTACTGAGAAGACTAAAAAATAAAAATGGAACACCTTAATTTTAATCAAATCGCGTATCGTTCGTATCAGTTTAATAGAAAAAATTAAACAATGCGAGATAAGGGCCGGGCGTCACTAGTGCATCGTTATCAGTCGCGAAAACATGGCGGCCAGCGATTACTACACCCGTGTTACAGTGATAACGTACCCTTGACGCAGAGCTAACGTGATCTCAACGATTAATAATAGCACTCGGAACTCCGATGGTTTATAAATACTCCGCCACGTTCCTAGGTCATTAACGCTGCAAGTTCAAGATGGGAGTGCCCATGATCAATAAATGTTGCTTCTGCGCCACCCTACACACAGGAACCTTGATTATAGGATATGTTTATACGGTAAGTTTGTTTTTTTTTTGTTTCGCTTTGACAGCTGAGTGATAAGGAAATTCCCTTCAGTTTATTATGGATTTCATTGTTTCAGTGTATGATTTGTTTTAATTTTACATATATTCTGCTAATTTGTCATGATCTGGCCATGCTGTACGCGTTAATAGTTAATATTTACACAGTAAACAGATAAAATAAATAATGTCAAGGTTAACATTCCGTAGCGCCTGACGTTTTTCTCTGAATGTAATGTTTTCTTTAGCACGGAATAAAACACGTTGCTATGGTAACGGTTTGTTAAAATTTCTTTTTAATATTCCGGAAACAAATGAATGAGGTCTCATTGATTTATTTATTGTTTTATTATACAAGTACCTTAAACAAAGGCTAACCGCTGCACCTTTATAATTTATCTAATCTGAAAATGTTGGTCATTAACTTCACTTTGAAAGTTATCACAGAACAATTAAATCACTATTAGAGATCAATAATTGTATTTTAAGATTCATATTTCAAAACAATATATTTTCCAGGTATGGGCGTTACTAGAGCTGGCAATATACTGCTTACTGGTGACACTGGCACCCCTGGGTAAAGATGGGAACGTGTCAATGCACAAATATGTGTTCTACGTGACTGCAGCCTGTGTTAGCGGGACACATCTCATCTGTTCTGTGCTCCTGGTAGTCGCCGCTTATAAGGTAAAGAGCTGAGAATACCTTCGCATTTTTCATACTAGTTTAATTTAGTAAGTATTTAGGTATCAGAAAAGAACGAATTTTATTTCAAGAAGGTACTACACATTGCATACATCAGTTTGTTTTTTTTTAGATAGGTTAGCTAAGTCCTTTTTCACCAGTTATGTTCTAAACTTCTGAATCCTATGTAATAAAGATCAAGTCTATTTCACTGGGCACAATGCCAGACTCCTTTCGATCATCAACTGCAAAAATTCTATGAGCAGCTAGGCATTCTATGTATAACTTTCAATTCAAAAGATCCAAGTGAACTGGACCGCGGTCTGCCCTGTCATTGTCATTGGTTGTGAGGTTGTGAGAATAATATCGACCAATGACGGAGGAGAATGCGATCGAACTAACTTCAAAATTTAAAAATAATTGATATGTTACACAATAGCCTAGCAGCTCGGAAAACAGACTCACAACAACCTTTTTGCTCCCCGGCAGTCGCTCGTGATGATTCAGTTAACGAGGTATTACACAGCTGTTACTGTAATTATCCATTCCTTTTTTCAGAAACTAGCATCCCTAACATTGCCATGGACAATAGTGACGGGCATCATCACAGCGATATACTTCCTGCTCTCCTTCACCGGCATCAGCCTGGTGCTGCAGGATGAGGGGGAGATGCTCGAGGTCGAGTCCATCGTCATATTTATACACCTCGCTAGATCATGTTAGTATCTTCACCATTATTTTTCTGTAGTTAAATATTAAAGTCCGAAACATCAGTGTGGAGTTACAAGTGCGTTGCCGGCTCTGTGGGGCTAGGAATTTGAGGATTGGGGAAATTGGGCAGGGAGGGATTTGGGCCTCCGGTAATCTCACTCACACGACGAAACACCACGCAAGCGTTGTTTCACGTCGGTTTTCTGTGAGGCCGTCGTATCACTCCGGTCGAGCCGGCCCATTTCTGCCAAAGCATTGGCTCTCCCACACATAAGTGTACATACATGTTATTAGGCATAATTAATCCTTTTTTTCGACACACATCACAATAATATAATGCAAATTTCTTTCTTTCCAGTTATCTCAGTATACTGCATCATAGTGGTGCACAGCCGACATAAACAGATCATGCACGAGGAGGATGAGTCCAGGTTCCAGCACTCTGGTCGAATCTATCAACCTGTGTCTGTGAAGGTGGAAGACCACGTTCTATAGACTAATAACTAGATGTAGGTACCTAAATTAAAGGTACCAGTACATTTGATAAGCTCTTAGTTAGCATTCACTTGCACACATAATACCTCTATAGACCAATGTTTTAGTGCTTCAAATGCCTACTGTTTATGGTGCTTGAACATGTGTTTTATTAATATTTTAATAGCCTATTGTACCTTGAATAGTGTAAGGTACATAGTGTAGTAACTACAGTATCAACTACAATAAAAACCGGCATTTTTATAACTTTAGGTAAAATAATTGTGTATGGAGTTTGGGACTATATTTTTACGTAAATAAGTAGGTATTTGTGATAGCAAAATTATGAACGAATTTTTAGTACCTAAGTACTTACATGCCTAAGTCGTTATAAACGTATGCGTAATTTAATTTGAAGGAAACGGTGAGATTGTAACAGTACAAGTTCCTGTGAATAAATGTAATGAATTTATACAAAGTATTTGTGTCTTACAATGATAAGTATTTTGTAAGTACCTAAATAAATTATTTAATTGTTATGTTTTTAATTTCAAGCTTTTTGGTGTTTTAATTGGATCCACTTACTTATTTGTCTGCACGCTTGGTGCGATGGCTGAGCAACCGGCTGCCGTACAGCGTGCCGCGGGTTTGATTCCCGTACGGAACAACACTCTGTGTTGACATCTTACAGAACAACACTGGTTCTGGTTCTGACTGTACCTAATCTGCGGTTGTCTACAAATTGTTGTTTCGGGTCTGGGTGTCATGTGTATGTGAACTTGTATGTTTGTAAACGCACCCACGACACAAGAAAAAATCCTATAACGTTACCCCCGTGGTTACCCCAACCAACGTTTCCTAAAAAATAAAAAAAAATACTTATCTTATCTACTGACCTACCCACCTTTGAAACAAACAGAAGACGGACATTTCAACATACCTTCTTACATCGTAGAGTCTAGTAGTAGGTACCTCTGATATCAAATTTAGCAGGAACCATGTAGGAATCTCAACAATGCAGTGTATTGTTTACTATTAAAAAAGTCATTTTATTTGATGTTCGTTTTCCGACTCAAGTTGTAAGTGAAACGGAACGCGCTGCTTACGTCAGAAAAACGTCGCTCGTCTTGTTGGCGCCATTCGAACGACAAAACAGTACGTTATCTCGGTCACACAGGTTGAAACTATATATCTGCATCTCACTCATGCCCAAATTTTTATTCATGGATCAAAGCAAAGTAGTAGCGATTTTTATTTCAGTGCAAATCGCTAAGGCGCGTTGTTTTGTTGTGCAGTGTGTGGAATTGGAATAAATTACGAACGTAAAATAATTCATGTTAATATTGTAATTTGTTAGTAAATAACATCGTGACCTTACAACACTTTTCGGCATTTCCTGAAGGAAAATTTCTTGCGGTTTTTGTTGATGTAAGTTGGTACATTTTAAAATTATTTTATAATTTTACTACAAGGTTGTTTGCCGTCTGTCGGCGTTGCTGATTATAATTTTCAGCGACCAGATGTTTACATTCCGGTTTTATCTTTTAATGTACTATTTAAAGATATTTTTGCCAAGATATTATTAATAAATCGTCTGAAGGAATAGTTAACGCAATATTTTATTGTATTGTACTACTATACTTTATTGAATACTTTAAATGTAATCTTTGCTTTATCAATATTCAAATTAGGTAGTTATTCCGAGTTTCGAGGTTGACTAAAGCTTTCAAATTAATTTCCAAACATGTCAAACTGTCTAACAAATACAGGCACTCCCATGGTTTCACCTACTTCATTTATTTTGTTGCTTAGTGCCCACCACTGGATAGAAAGTATGTATGCACAGGCTGTGTAAGTTAGGGCCATAGAAAAAAACATAAAAGCCACATTGTCTGATTTTTTGCACTAACACACACTAAAAATAATAAAGCATTTAAGCTGTACCACATTATTTGACAATGACATAGATTTCTGTGTTAGTTAATATAATAATATTTGCAAAGTCCTCTTAACAAGAAGTAATGGTATAAAACCACAATTCTCAATTAAACATTTAAATATTCTAATCTCCGGAGCCATAGCAGATGCATGTAAATATTCACATATTACTTACTTATCTACTTTTCTGTTAATCAAATTGACTTAATGACTTTTAATGTCAATGGAATGGACTGGGCATTCAAGGTTGAACAACATGCCCTACCTATATAAATCTTTTAATCCCGGAAAGGGTAGGCAAAGGTGTTCATTAAAAATGTAGAACTCATCATTCAACTTGTTGTGCAATGAATGTTTGTAAAACTAGTTTCAATATTGTTTTCAAGGTATGGTTTTCTATTTGATACTCACATATAATTATCTAAATACCGTATATTTAGTCACAACTGTAGAAAGTTAGCTCAATCACAATTTCAATTATCAGCCGAATTTACTGACCAATCATAATTCAGAACCTGTGGGTAAGAGAAGTTTTGTCAAGAAATCACTCCTTATTTTGGATTGAGATTGATTCTTATTTTTGGATATTAGTCCCTAAAACAATACCTACATATAATTTATCTTTATGTGAATTTTACATTAGATGTAGGTATGTGCTTACAGGAAAATGATATAATCCTAGTTATCCCATTTGAGAACCTTTGCAAATAAGGAAAAAGTATGATCTTATTTCAATTTTTATACTAAGTATGTATTATTCAGTATAATTTATCAAACCAGGATGACCTTTCTGACTCATTATTATTATGGTGGGTTATTTTTATTAATTTTTTTATCTAAGCTGTGCTTAATTTTATTGTGAATGCAAATAGGTAAGCATAGCACTCATAAAAAGTATAAAGCCTTTGCAGCGGAGCATCATGGTTAAAAATAAAATAAAATTTGTACAATTAGGAGTAGGGACTGTACCTTAAACTGTCAAACACCAAGCGGTCACCGGTGACCGCGACCTATTGTTCTTTAATTGTGTCTATAAAACCGGTACTCAACGAGTTAAATATTTATTACAGGCTAAAGATACTAACGAATTTTTAATAATTATATCCTTTGATGACTGTACAATTTGTGCAATGTAACTGGATTACAGGCTACTACCCGCAGCGTGACAACAATTTGTTTATTTATTTAGGGGTCTGAGTATGATGCTGAGTGAAAATTGTGTTGTAACTGCAACTGCAACCATGGTGCAAAAGTGAAACAATAGATGTTAATTCATTATCTTATCTAGCTTTGTTAATATTTCGTCTTCGTTTTTAGTAACCATATTTTTTTAACTCTGTACAATAAATGTTAAATGAACCTAACAAAGAACATTAAAATTGTAGACCAATTTATCCTTAAGAATTTTTTATCTACACAATACTTAATTGTTTGATTTATGTATCTGAGCTGGTTATCTAACAGTGCGCCAAATTCAATGAGCCATGTAATCAGCCAGGAGACAGCAATAACCATAACTTAGATGTGATCTAGCCAGTCGCCTTAATTCTTATCAATTAGCGACATCTTCGCTGTTGAATGGCGCGTGACCTTGAGTTGGGGCCTGTGCGCCGGCGCAGACTGACGGGACGCCGACCGTTATTAACAGTGGCGCTTGAGGCTACAGGAGTATAGGTGTACAGTAGTATAGTATACCTGCCAGGAGTGCCTAGCGAGCCGGTTTGGTCCACACAGCAATATTGACCATTTGCGTTTCTGAGTATAAAGCGTGTTCTAGTTACAAAGCAAAACAATGCTAGTGCTGTCCCTGAATAAATTGGCCTTGTGACCGCCAGACAGCGGAATGTATGGAATTGTATGGAAACGCCAGAGTTTATTAAGGCATTACGTCACCTGACCTTGTTCGATACTTTTAATGTTCTGTTTCCAATAAATCTGATTTTGGAGCCATTTTTAGTCGACACGGATGACAAACGCCTATAGCAGTAAAACGCAATTTGACCCAAAAAGCCAACATTAATTGGCTTAGACATGTTATCATTGTAAACAACATTGTGTCCATAAAAGTTGGATACGATCATACGAGTGCATTACCCATTACCATTAATATCTAGCACCAATCAATAAAGTACGACCAGACAGAAATGCTATGGATGTAACTGCTAATCAATTATGGCGATGCCAAATAATTGTTCGTTACTTTGTAATTTGTATACAGGTCATAAACCTCAGAGACAGCCATGGGTGGTCACATGCTCTAAGAACTGGTCAAAATGTCAAAAGAAAAGTACCTATCTTTTTGCAAAATATTTTATCGTAGAAATAGAAGCGGAACACAGTTTGTTTTTGCGTACGTTTAAACATGATAGATGATACTGGGAGTGGGACGCGAGGTTTAATAGGTCACGGACGGCATTAGCGCCGACCACTTACGAGATGAACAAATTATTTGCACTAGAAAAACATACTAGGTACTGCTCTATGTACCATAGTATGTACTGCTCTGCGTGTTCTTGTCAGCGATTTGATGTAACTATTGGCATCTAATATTTATTTTGATTCACCCGCTCAATATCTGCTCTATACATGAACATAAAACATGTAATAAAACTGAATAGTGATTTTTTTGATGGAATGCCACCCGGCAAATAGCGCAGTTGTAGTGGAAGTAATATTTTTGACTACCTAGCACTTACGAACACGCAAAATTTTTATCCGATATCAAGAAGTTAGCAATTTGTTTATGGGTATCATGCATTGACATGTGTATCAGATAAAGTCAGTTATAGTTAGTTACGTCCATCCTGTATAAGGACAATCAATAAAAATTACCTGACGGCTGTCCTTGGCAAGTTCACTATCATCACTAGCGGGATCTGGGTGTGTGGTGCAAGGTACAGTACTACCACGGTTATTTTTATTTGATGCTGAGTTATTTGTTGCTGACTAAAAGCGTGACGAGCCTTGAGAAATCTTATATATATATATATATATATATATATTTTTGGCTCTGGGTGATAATTATCACTGATCCTTTCAACTGAAGCAAAATTATTCAAAATAAAAACATGATTTATTTAAAAATCATTTTTTTTTTATGGAATAAGCCGGTAAACGAGCAGAGGGATCACCTGATGGTAAGTAATCGGCGTCGCCCGTGGACACTCGAAAAACCAGAGGCGTTACAAGTGCGTTACCGGCCTTTTGGGAATTAGGAATTTGAGGATTGTGCAGGATTCGGGGATTGGGGAGACTGGGGAAGGGGGTAATTGGGCCGCCGGTAACCTCATTCACACGACGAAACACAACGCAAGCGTTGTTTCACGTCTGTTTTCTGTGAGGCCGTGGTATTACTCCGGTCGAGCCGGCCCATTGGTGCCGAAGCATGACTCTCCCACACTTTTAATATTCATTTAATATTCAGGCTAAAAGCATGAATGTACAGATGAAATAATTAATTAGCCAAATAAGTTTTAAATTAGAGTCCTCCAGAAACACTGCGACAAATAATTTTGGCACCAAGACTGGAACTCTTTGCATCTTATGTTATTCATTCATTCATTCATATAGAGATCGCGGTTCGCTCATACCTTATCACATGGGTACTTGCATTAATGATAATTACATTGTCAGTCCACACGTATTAACGTGCAAAAACACTAGGGACTTGTTTCAATAGTCCCGTCCTGCACATCTGTCGCTCAGTGTTACCCTGACAATGGCGTCGGACGATACCCAGTAAGTCACTCTCCCTTACTCTATGATCCTTCATTTCTTTCAAAATTTTTTTTTCACTTGCTGTCTTCTTCTATGTCATTTTAGTTATTTCGTCGACAGAAGTTTATTGTGCACTTTTAAATCAGCACTTTCAGTTTAATACTTTCATTGTTACAACTACTTTCGCCTATAAGTCTCTCCTACGTGATTGTTTTATATGGTTGCGGTTACCCTAAGTTACATTTGAGACTACTAAAAATCAAGCAACGGATATGGAGTGCCTTTCTAGCTGATAGTTTGTTATTGACAAGCATACATAACGCAGTATTGTCTCGAATTGAACTGAGTTCATTGCGCCAAGCTGAAAATTTGGGTAGACCAATTTGTTATGTATATTCTTATCGCGTACCAAGTGCTTGAATAGGAACAAACCATGTAGCGCATGACGAGCTTTGTTGCTACCACCTACGTAGATCAGTGTTGAATTTTCATGGTCCTCGTTTAACTGAACCGGCCCTACATAACTGAATGAAGTGGAACTCGCCAAGCTACCAACCTAACTACCAGGAAATAAATCATAGGTTTATTATAGTACACCTACTTTATTTTTTAATAAATATGCTTCTACTGCTATATATTTTTTCCGTCTGCAAACTATTTATATTTTTCCTGGCTGAGTAATAGGGGAAAAGAACCTGCAAAGTCCTGCTGTTACTGTAGGTATGGTGTTCTCAATTTGTATTAGAAAATGAAGATCATAACTTAAAAGATATGATCTTCATTTGACCGGAGAACGTCGAGACGTGCCTGAGTCTGGCTGTCTGCGAAGTGAAGGACTACAAGGTCAAGTCGGGTTGAAAATGTGAAATATTCCATCTTGAACCTTGTATCCATTGTGAAAGTCATAGTGTATTGCAGACTATTTTCTGATAATAATTTGTTATGCACGTTTGGTAGACTAGTTGCGTTCAGGCTCATATTGTATCGATTAGTGTAGTTCTGACGTCACAGATTGCAGTTATCATTAGTTACTCACGCCGACACATCTCGATAAACAGGGGATTTTGAGTGACGACCAGACCAGTTCCTGCGCGTAAACAACCGGTTTATAAATTGATATAAATAAATTATGTAGGTACCTATAATTTTGTTTTATTTCTGTTTCGGAGAAAGTACGTACGTACGTCATTTGCGTCAGACCGCATTTTATTCGGTTTGTCAAAAGATTGTGTAAGTTACATTTTTTTTTGTAGAGGCTCTATATGGCAATAGGCTCACCGCCTATTACATGGGACTCATAACAAATAGTGAAAAGTGGGTGTTACTTCTGTGTGCACCTCTGCCTACCCCTTCGGGGATAAAAGGCGTGATGTTATGTTATGTTACATTACTTTTTTGAAAATACACTTAAAACATGTTATCTGTGTATGTAAATGTTTCTATCATTTGAGTTTTATACGAGTCGATAAGAATATACACGTGTATGTTATCACGAGACCCAAGTTCGCCAAAATATACGATTATGCAATAGCGATTGTAGGCATTTAGACAATCTGGTCCTTACGTATTCAAGTATTAGTGATTCAGTTCAAAATACAACTTAAAGTCGCGTCTGTGGGCTCTTAGTCACCGAGTCCTGATATATTATGCTCCCGGTTTATAACAAAAGTTGCGGGCGTTTGAACACAATATTTATCAGTTTTTCATATTATCTCAGAGCATTATTTATTTTTAGATCCATAATTCGTGCACGGCGCCAACGCAAATGCATTTTGTGGAAACAATCTATTATTTCACATGTTGGCATAATTGGCAGCGGTAGTGACCTCTATGAATGAGCTAGAGGTGGGTGCAGCATAAAAATATCTTGCAAACACGTCAACTTTTTACTACTCGAATACGTAAGGGCTATCCCTTGTGTAATCAAGTTCAAGGAAATATTCGTCATTTGACGTCAGCATACGGCGCCCGACGTCACGACACGACGCTCGTGGGGCGTATCAGACAGTTCGCGCGGTATAGCTGACATTGTCTCTCGCTTGTGTTCCAGTTGCCGCGAGCGTGTCGCCGAGGCTAGTGCTAACATGGGCGTGCCACACATCACCTCCTTCTGCTGGTGCATGGGACTCGAGGTCGGAGCCAAGTGCGTCGGCTTCGTACACCTGGTGAGATCATTTTACTACATGTTTTTGTTTGTTTACATTCTTACATAATAGTTCTAAGTAAGATAAAGATATATGATAGCCATGCGAAGTGTGTATGTATCCGCGAATAGTACAGATATTTATTTCGCATTTTTATTGCCTTGAAAACTGGTCTCAGTTTTTATTTTAGTAACGACTGGTTTATTTCGAAGTTGTGTGAGTTAATGCTTTGTTGTGACAATAAATTATTATTAGGGATATTATTGTGTTAGTTTTATCAATATCAGTTAGTAATCATAATCAGGAATGCAGAAGTAGATAGTCTCATTAGTTATTAGTCTTAACTTTTGTTGATATAAGTAATAAATACAGTGAAATAAAACTTCTCGTGAATAATTTAACATTTACCTTGAGTACTCGTACGTACTTATTGACATAATGTAGATGAATATCAGGCGGCTATACATTGGCGTAGAAGGTAATTAGGTATATCTACTTCTATATTTATATATATATCTAGGTAACACTGTTGGTCTGCGAATTTCGGTGGATCGGCACATTATTGGTATTCGTGATCATGTTCGAGACGGTACACTGGTCACATGTTGCATTTTAAACGAGCTAAATTTTGTTCACCTCATAAATATGGTAATGAACACTCGCTGGACAATACCTCTAAGTTTGGCGAATTGTGTTTACATTAAATTTGAGAAACGAGACATTTTATAATACGCTGTAGATGTACCTAGAGATTAGAAGAGATAAAAAGTAGATAACTCTGACTGAACATTTCTTTTTTGAATGTACAGACAGCCAAATTATTCGGTATGCAGATAGACGTAAATGTAGTACAGAGTCCCTTTGTTAGCGTGGCGCCTCTTTGCAAGACTCCCAACTGGGCAGGTCTATTAGTTTAACCCAGATTCGGCTAGTCGAGTATTTTACATGAAACGACCATCTGCCCTGGTCAGGGGTTTTAGACTAAAGCAGTGACGACATAGATGTCTGTATAACAACTAAGCTACCATTTTTTATTACTAATTTCTTATTTATGTCCTATGTTCATCAGCTGGTATCATTCATCCTGATGATCCTGTGCTCCGTGTTCGCGGAGAATGTACGCGGCTTCGTGGGCACGGCGGAGGACGCCGGTGACGGCCTGTACGCCACCTGGTACAAGATCGCCGTCACCACCGCCGTCGTCACCGTCGTGCATGTCCTGCTCGCCTTCACACTGCTCTTCTCTGTCTTCAAGGTAAGCCAACGCTAAATTCTATTCTTCTAAACTTCAATTTTCGACCAATTTCAGTTTGTCGCTCAGGCTCCTATTCAAACTCCTATTAAGTCGTTTCAGTGTTATCAAACATCAACCCTTAGTTGCTGCTCGATTAATGCAGTGGTTGCTATGTTTGATGCCAATATGGAACTAACGGTATCATTGTCGATCGATTTTTTGTTTTTGCGCTACAAAAGCGTACAGTTTACTTATTAGAAAAAGTATCGTTAGTCCAATCAGACCTCCCCTTTGTATGTGTTTGACCTAAAGTCAGAAATGGTTTAGAGAAATTGGAACAGTTTAATGTTAGCATCTCTTAAATTCCGTTCGAAATATGTAATAGTGTGATTGGAAACAGAACAGCGAACTATCCTCTACTTTAGCGTACGAATTCCCTGCTGAGATGAGTGCGTCACGCGGATATCATAATGTCTTGTATCGCTGGGCTTTTTCTTTTTATAATCATTTATTTCGGTACACTACTATAGCTAAGTATTTGTCAGAGTATAAATAGTTGTTACTACCTAGTACCTACTCGTTTGTTTTTGTTTTTTATGCGCCCACTATTGTATTATTAGATGTTTTCACTTGTAAAGTATGAGGATAAGTTTCATAGTTTCATGATTTCGATTTAATTTTTTTTTATTGATTACAATCAATTCGTATTGACCAGTTGTCTAATTGCTACTTTTGAATGTCATGTATTAAAATCTTAAGATAAAAGAACTATTTTGCAGTCAACACTTGTTCTTCGCTCTTTATGTTTCAAAGAAGATAGAACTACCTTAATGTCATTAACAGCAATACGAATGGGAATCTAGTTAATTAATCACCATTCGGTGGACCATCAAAGTGTGCGGAATGTACGGATACTTTGAAATCCAAAGGTATATCGGATATTACAATTTTATGAGCTTGCTATTTTACGATAGAACACAAGGTCGAAAATACTAACAATCTTTACGTTGTATACAACAACGATACATCGTTTTTTTCCTCTGGACAAAACATAGAGGATGCTACTTATCTGGAAGTCTCTCTCATACTTTGCTGTATATTGTACCTACTTATGTTTACAAATAAAACAATTTGATTTGATTTAATATGAGTTCTCCAACTTTTAACTAAAAATCGCGGGTTACTTACGTGAATAAACTGAGAAAAGTTCTACTACTACTACTAGTTTAAGAGAAGCTAGCTGCTCGTGAGAATGAATCCCTCTGTGGTTCGAAACTAGTAGAGCCTTTCTCAGTGTATTCACGTGAGTAACCCGCGATAGTTATTACAAAAATATCCTCTAACTTTGTTAATGCTATATAACTGTTAAAGTAATATGGGTTAAACTTCTTCCTAGTCTTATTATATTTGGGTTGGTAAAGTTATTTTCTACCCGTTATTACAAACTAATTACTCTTTATTCCCTTCATATCCTACTGTCATCGGACACAGTTCATACATCAAATAGACAATATATAATATTTTACCACATTTGACATATTCATTCAGCTGTACATTTAGCACAGTAATTTAGTATGTAGGTAACAAATAAAGATTTCAACTCGGTACAAGGACAGTAGCTAATATACACATTATGTCATTTTTACCAAAGTATATTTTCTGTACCATTGGTCGGTTCTCGGTTCAGTAGCCAACCAATGGTTACTGTCTCTGTACTGAATCAATCCTTGTTTTCTTACCAGCATATTGTCGAACTTTATTTCATAGTCGCTGTTGCTCGCGACTTCGTCTACAGCTTCTTCTTCGTTTTTCGTTCTTCGTAGAATATGATTCCTGTTTTATTTCATGGGAGCAATTAATCATTTAGCTTCTATACCAAATTTCATCTAAATCCGTTGTGTAGTTTCAGCGTGATTGTCGGACAGACATCTATACAAGTTTCATATTTATAATATTAATGTGATACTATTTAGTATGGCTACAATAGGTTCTTCAAGGGAGGAGTAACTAGGTTTATAAAGGGTCGGCAATGCCCCAAGTGTTGCAAGCGTTTATAGGCCATGTAACCACTTCCCATCAGGTGGGCCGTGTGGTTTCCTTGCCCCCGCCGTGGTATAAAAGTATGTATTGTCTGTAGCGCTCGCCGCGCGGTATCCGCGCGTGGGTGTGGGTGATGTCTGCGCTGTGCGCGGCGGCGCTCGTGTGCATCGTGGTGCTCGTGGCCACGCACGGCCTGTCCGGCTCCGGCTCCGACATCTTCCTGTCCTTCCTCGAGGGACTCGTCTTCTTCGGTGAGTGTTAGATTTTACTACATTATTATACGTTGTTGTCTTGTTCGTAATATTCCTTTTAATAGTCAGACTTCATTTTATTAGGTACAGACACCAACACTTTATTATGTGTCGTGTTTAGTTAAAATTGTATATGAAGTTCTCTATTTAAGAAGTTGAAGTACTGGTTGTTGAGATTGTTCTGCTGGGGTCTAAATAGAAATAAAAACAATACATAATATACTAGAGGTATAGTCACAGACGCGTGAGACGCTGATACTGGTACACTTAATGTAGTTAGAAGGAATTAAGCGAATTAATTCTATTAAAGAAAAATGAACCGTATTGGTGTACTTCACTACTTGTAATTGGTGTACTTCACTACTATTAATCATTGCTTTGGTAAAGATTTGGATATCAATAAAAACTATTTGCATTTTACCAACGACTCGACAGCAAAAGCCGTCTTGTTTTTAAGTAGTTAAACTTCCCTGTCCACTAAAAATGAAACGTTTTTATAATTGTTAAGTGAACAAACAAAGATACAAGGTGTTTGTACAGTTGTCAGAGATACCTAGCTGTGTAGGCACTTGGTAAATGTCCCCTCTTAGCACTACAGTTCTTTGTTATATTTCTACACCTCTAAACTGTTAAACAATGACTGAAATGCTGAAATATGGAAATTTCTTTCAACTGTTTTTGTAATATATGTATTCTGTACTTAACTAATTATACCTCTAGTTAAGTACAGAATACATATATGTGTTATACCACATTATATGTGTTATATAATCTGTGCAAGGATTTTAAAAGTTACTTTTAAGTGGGTATTGTGATCTAAGGCTGTATTTCAGAATTTGTGACTTGTGGGGTATACCTTCAGTTCAGGCTTGTTTATTTATTATTGACTAGCTGACCCGGCAAACTTCTTTCCGCTTAAAACTTTTTTCTCACATTTTAAACCTTCCCTGGACTTTTAGGACCAAATGTAGCCAAATCGGTTTAGCTAATCTCGAGTTTCGAGATCTCGAGATGTCGTGGTGGCCTGGAGGTTTAAGACGCCCGCCTCTCATGCATGAGGATAGTTCGAAACCTACTAACAGCACGTACTAATGTGACTTTTTCCGAGTTACATGTGCTTTCTAAAAATATCTAGACACCACTGATAAACGGTGAAGGAAAAACATCGTGAGGAAACCTGGGCTTATAATTTCTAATTATAAGTTTGTAATCGCCAACCCACATTGAGCAAGTGTGGTGATAAATGCTCAAACCTTCTCCATATGAGAAGAGGCTTTGTTCAGCAATGGACACTTATAGGCTGTTGATGAATCTCGAGTTTTAGCGAAACTAACGAACAGGAATTCACTTTTATAGGTATTTATTATTTATGAACATAAACACAAATATTAGGGCGCGATTATGGTAAATGACTCCTCCCCCTAAATACAGGCCTTGTTTAGCAGTTCACGTCATTCAGCTGATGATGATGATAGTTCTTGGTTGGTAGATCAAATAAAAAAGAAAGAAAAATCTTAGAAAAAAAAGCAGAGGGCTTAGCACGAATTTGTTTTACGTTCAACGATATCGAATCAAAACCGCATTCGGCGCTGCGAATGGTTGGTTTATTGGAGTCGGCCAATCAGAGCGTCGAACGTGGTCTCATTTTAATTTCGTTAAACGTAAAACCAACTTGGATTAAGCCATCAGAGAGCTTTGGGCGTACAATTGGGTACTTGACAACTAGTCAAATTCAATACTTTTTCGAATTGTCAAAAACTAGTTTTCTATGAATTTTGTACGAGATTGTGTATTGTGACGTCACGGTTTTTTAGGGTCAAACACCATACTTATTACTTAAAAAAATGCTGGAAAAATACTAAAATTAAGTTGGATATAAAATCAATTAATGAAAGTGTGATTATTTTTTAAATATTTTATTGTATTGAACAGTCGAAATAATTTATTTTTGATCAAGGAAAGTACTCTATTGAGCAATGTCATTCAAATGCAGACGTGCAATCTTGTAAGTTGTTATGTAATCTGTCTGTAAGTATGTACTTCATTTGTCTGGTAGCTTGCAACTTGTTTGTCAGTCGTTACGCTATCGTTTACTTAATGTACTGTCTGACCCCAGAAGGTGTTCTATATAACATTTTTTTTTAAATCTGGTAGTGTTATTTACAATCAGTAGATTTTTTTGATAAAATTATTATTTTATGAGAGATGGGGGCGTCCATAAATTATGTGAGGTGTTTTTTTAATTGTTTGTCCCTCCCTCCCCCTCCAGTGAGATTTCTTGAGATTGTATTTTACACCCTCCCACATCCCCCAATCTCACGTTAGACTTTTCAAAATGTTGGTTTTTCACGTAAACGCTCTGGATTGTTATTGCAAAAAATCCATGTGCATGTACAATTAAATCTTAAGCATGTACAAACGTAAGATTAGATGAGATTTGAGTCTACCCCCTTTCACCCTAAACATCTCACGTAATAATTTATGGACGCCCCGTACCTAATATAATAAAATAAAACAAGTAAATATTCTAATATTTTTAGATTATTTATGACAAACAGAAATCAATGAAAAACATATTCTGTTTTTAGTAGTAGCTGTAGTCTGAGAATTTCATTTTGATTAAACCATACCTAATTTACTGTTGATACGTTACAATAGAATTATTCACCATCTGTTAATGAATCTGATTGCTCTTTCCAAAGCATATATCTGTTTGGACACAATGTCAATAACCTTATATTTGTATTCCAGGAGTGATGGCTTACTGCATCCTGTGCGTGAACAGTTACTACTTGATGTTGAAGAGTGCGGAGGACATGGAGGGCCCGCACAAGTCTGTCTACTAGTCACTGCGCGGGACACCTCGGTACTCACTACATGTACTTACTTTTTGGTTATGAACATGACCTCACAATGCACAACAAAGCAAAGATAACAACTTTCTGAAGTTACTGCTAACACCTGCAAATTGGTAAATGAATCTTAATCAAGGTTAAGAAGTCTACTGATTTGGGATATATCCAAACCTGTACAAGCTCAGAACTAGTAGTCAACCTGTTCGTGTATTAAACACGAACAGGTTGACTACTTGTTCTGAGCTAATCTTTAAGGCCATTTTATTAGAGATTCCTTAAAATGTTTGTACCTAATATAAAGACAACAATAGATGCAACAGTATAAAATAATAAATGCTTATTAGCTACCTAAGTCTTACAAAGAATCAAATCACGAAATTATACGAATTCTATTTGGATATCTTTGTTTTGAGAAGAAAACTATGCGTGGTCGTTCAATTAATTTAACTTGGAAATTAAGTACCAAACTAAATGTGTAGTTTTAAAGTATAAGCTACATGAAAAAGAACGAGTTTTAAATACTAATTATACCCAATTTTATAAAAGAATAAAGAGAGCATTTTAAACAATCTTCCTAAACACAATTCAAAGGAAATGGTTCTAAATAACAATTTTAATAGAATCGTGCTAAATAAGAAAATGTTTTGTTACGTACAAATATTATAATAGTAACACTAGGTGGATATATTTGTATGTTTATTGTAGTAGTTGATGTTAAGTGTTGAAGCTCCCTGTTGCATGCATACATATACTCATAATCTTAGAACGTGAGCCATACTGAATTCAAAACAGTACATTGCTTGCTTTCGTAAGTATTCGAGAGTGCCCGACTAATTTCAAACCACGATCGGTACTTATAATGACCCAGGCTAACGATGAATCTTATCAAGCTACTCACGATAATAATCATATTGGATATTCTAATTACTCGCAACGTTCTTACAATATATATTTAGTAGACATTACTATGTAATCGCGAACAGTTTGTACGATGATGTAATCACATTTGCACGCGCAATGTTCCGAAATGCCAGACAAGGTTACACGGCTCGGAATGGGAAGCCATTTGTATTGTTATTGTTACACATTTATCTTATCTCACTAACTGCCTAATTGGTTGTAAGTGTTGGACAAAGTAATATTGCGTGCTTTTTTCAAAGTCTTAGTAGCACACAGCCTAGATCAGGTTCATCTATTAACGTGGGACTAATAACTCAACTAGCGAATACTTAATTATTTATTATGTTTTCGGCTTACTCATGTAACTGTTTGACAAGGAACTCGACTAGTTTCAAGCCATGTTAGAGGCTCACATTCATGAGCATGAACAGTCACATGAGTAAGCCGAAAACATAATAAAAGTAATGCATTTTATGTCCCTTTGGGGGATATGAAGAGTGATGTTATATTTATCTTATACAATAGTAAATTGATTTTTAATGAATACTTCTTTCTATGAAGACAATTGCATTTACTGCGTGCGACAGGGCTTAGATGTAAGTGCAACATTTTATAAATGTGTTTTAATGCTTAGATATTTTACTGTAGCGCCTGGCGGGCTATTATACCTAGAATTTATATACTATGTTTCAAATGTTAACGTGTAACCAATTGGAAATGAATCTTTGAAATGTTAAAATATGATATTGATACTGTTATAAATTGTATTACAAATTACGCGGACGAAATCGTAAGCATTTCTAGTCAAATGTTTGGAGAAACTACATTGAACATCCATGTTCTTAGGTTTAATAAATAAGATAGCAAGTATACATACATAATTGAGTAGATTCCAGGGTATCAAAATTAAAAATCTATTTAGTCTGTCAGTTAGATAATGAAAAAATACTAGACACGTATTTTTTTTATTTACTCGTATTAAGTTGCAATACTTAGATAAAATGGCGCTAAGTTTAAGAGTGGGAGGTTGTTACGTCATAAAATGCTACAAAATGTGGCAGGTTGTGACGTCACACGATATTTCAAATTAAACTGTCAAACACCAAGCGGTCACCGGTGACCGCGACCTATTGTTCTTTAATTGTGTCTATAAAACCGGTACTCGACGAGTTAATATAGCGTCGAAAGTACTTAATTTTGTGAGAAAAGAAAAAATACGTGTCTAAAGTGTTAAATTAATGTACCAGACGGACATTAAAATAAAATTTAGGAAACTCCCCTATTATGTACGGTACTTTAGATATTTGCTGGCTCGATTAGTAATGCTGCTTATACGGTTGTTCGGGGTAAAATTGGACTAACAGCGTAACATTGGACTAGATTCTGAATATACACTTACATACATAGTCTCACGCTTCTCTCCCATAAGGGTAAGCAGAGACTATAAACGCCAATTACTACGATTCTTACAAACCTCGTTCGCTTCATCAACATTCAACAGTATTTTAACACATGCTCGTCGGGTAGAGTACATTTAATGCATCGCCTGGTCGATTATATTTTTATTTTTAATCCTTGCTGGATTAAAATGCATATATTCATCTATCCATATGCGACAAAGATGTGAGTTTATCTTTGTATAACAGTGTATAGTCCAATATAACATTAATTTGTTCCAATTTTACCCCCATATTAAGCTATTCCATATGTTTTTTCTGTTGTTTTATTGCCAAGTTACTTACGAACAATTTTTGTACCCGTATATTGATATAATAGTAATGTATATGAAGTGGCGACTGGAACGCGACACATGTAAATTGATGTTAATACCACAGGTAATTACTTCATTAATTGATGTGGAAACCAATGTGGGATGGTTCCTTTTTTTATGGACTTCCTTTAACTTACAATTGTAATGCAATACTGGCTCCGGAATACTGAAAAGCTACCCAAGTTAAAGTTGCGTTTAAATGTCGTGCCTTTATCATTTTATAAAAAACTAGCGACCCGCCCCGGCTTCGCACGGGTGCAATATGTATGTATTATACATATAAACCTTCCTCTTGAATCATTCTATCTATTAAAAAAAACCGCATCAAAATCCGTTGCGTAGTTTCAAAGATTTAAGCATACAACGGGACATAGGGACAGAGAAAGCGATTTTGTTTTATACTATGTAGTGATTTGTAGTGACAGAACTTATACTTAAACGCGACTTATAGTTGAGTAGCCCTTCTGTATTCGGACGTATAATAATTGCCGGGTTAATCAAGTGTTGGTAAATGCGGTACACGCGACTATTGTAGAAGAGGTCACGAGATGCAAAATATATTAGAAGTTTTTTTATTTTCGTAACATAATTGAAAACTTAGGTGTTACACTAAATATATTACTTCTGTACACCTACTTAGGAAAATGAAGTGTAATGTTGTCTTAAAATATTTGCTTCATAATGATTATTTTAGTCGCGTTTCTATTTGTGAGTGACACTAAGTGAGGGTTATAACTCCACAAGCCAATTCCTCTGCTGAGGACATTATTACAAGTGCTCCTTATGACTTGCCTCAACTTTTCGATATATTTACATTAATTAACCAAGTACCTTATTAAAATTAATAAATATTCTTATGTACAACTTCGAATATTAATATTCAAATTGAGAAATGTAGAAAACTATTTACTAAAAATGTATTTACTATTATTTTATTTAAACAAAATCGTCCGAAAAGGTGTCTTACAATGTCAAACGAGTTCTATAATAACATTTATGCGTAAAATAAAGGTAATATTTATGTATTTTAAACATAAAATTAAAGCTCTTAACTTGTTTGTTCAAGTGTGCCAATAGATGTCGCTCAAATCGACTCAGAAACTCAGCGACTTGCTATAGAATTTTATTGTAACTTTACTGTACCTAACGTGAAAGTTTCCTTATATTTTATTGTTGGATTTTTAACTGCTTTATAAGGTAATAACGTTGGAAACCTTATAAAGAAAGTGTTAGGATACTTCACAGGATTGAAGCTGAATACTTTAGTAATAAGTAATGAACAAGATAATACAAGAAAAATAAGATTTGAAAGACAATTGTCAGCCGTATAACATGCCCACGATGGGGTGACTCCCAGTGCAGTTACTTCTGTGTACTTATAAGAATAGTCTTAAGAATTTTTGTATAATTTTTTCGCCAGCTGTATTTATTAAATTTGCTATTTTATGGCTTTGTTTGCCAAACGTTTTGTTTTATTTTAAACTATAATTACCCAGTAGAATTTAGGAATAACTGTTTTGATAGTAACTCAAACATAGAAATTATTATAAGGATATTTATATCATTCTTAGTAGCTTAACTGTAACACATAACATAACTAGTGACAAATGTATATTACATACATACATACATACATACATAACCTCACGCCTATCTCCCATGGGGGTAGGCATAGACTATGAAACGCCAATTGCTACGATTCTTACATACATCTTCCACATATACATAGTTGTAGGTATACTTATGTTCTTCCAGGCAAAGAGTGGAGTAGGTAATAAATGTAAAAATAAAACTGCAACAAATAATTTATACATGTTGTTTATTCATCGGAATAACTTGTAATTACGATGAAGTTTCACATTACTTTAGATTTGTTTAATTTCAATAAATATATTACAACTCTATGCGTAGTACGGTACCAACGATAGTTGCTACGTTATTCATAAACTTACTTATGTCTCATAGATGTGAGGCCTTCCGAGCTCTCTCTCGAACTATACAAGTCGTTACGGCACGTCAATATGACGCTCGCACTGCCCATACGAACCAATTTAACATACAAAGTACAAATTGTGAGTGAAATCAAGCAAAATTAGCAGAGTAGGTGGATCCAGCAAAACAAGAGTCAGCAGTTTATCTTTTCCTAGATGTTGATCTGAATATTGTATGTCAAATTGATCCTTTGATAGCATCAGCATTAATCTTTAATTAGAAGCAACATTACTGTCAAAATGAGAATTTACACAAAAAATATCTACTATTAACAATTTATTTATTGTTATTTATTATCGATAGCCTGGTTCGATAGTTATAGCAAGCG